GAATAAATTGCAATAGTAGCTAATATCTTCAAAGAATGGAATCAAATCAACTATACTACACTGTAAAAACTCAAACCAACTGAGTACTGTAAAACCCAGTAAGTTAAGGCAACTCAAACTGTTTGAGGAAACCGATTGCTACAAACCATTTGAGTTTAAAAACTAATCTATATGAGCACTGTGAACTTACTCCAGTTAAGATTAAGTAATGAGGTATTTAATTAACTCATTGTACTCAAAGACTGAATTCAAAACTCTTTTTAAATGAGTAGAATTAACTTTCAGTCAATTTTGAGTTTACTACACTAATTTTAGTTGATAAAGTTGACTGTTGGGTTTTACAGTTTGTGTAAACCTGCAGCCTTAACAGTACTAAGCTCAACTTAACAGTTCTAAGTTACAGTGGGTTTACTCACTTTTTTTAAAGTTAAGTAAAGTTGTTTTTAAGGCAACAGGTTTAATCACTTTATTAAAGTAAAGTAAATAGTCACTTTTTGCAGTGCAGTAAAATCTAACTGTGTTTATTAATCAACAGGTTGGAAGAGCTGCTGGCTGCTCTGTTTTCATCCTTTAAAGGCACACCAATGTGGGTTTCATTACCATCTATTATGTCCACAATTCAAGAAGCCATTGTCGTCGGTGCTAATAACATGCAGGCAGAAACAGGTGAGAAAAGCATTCATTCTAAACACAGCGGAGGTGCAGGGAGCATGTCTATGATTATGAACAAACCCTTTCAGATTTAAACCATCCAAGTTCTTTCTTCTCCCCAGAGTTCTTCCACAGTCTCCAGCAGCCATTGTCCAGCCTTTTGTCTGATATTTTCGATGTTACGAACACAAGCCGTTTCAATGCTCCCTCTTTTGTTGGTGAACTGCCACAGGCTCTTGTGTTGACTACCGAAGCTGCTCTACAGGTTTGAACAACATTCCTATCTATTGATGTGACGGCCTGGTGAATATGCAAATGAAAGAATGCAGGGGTTTTGGCATATAATAGAGGGTTGGTGAGCTAGAAAGGCCTATTTAAGCTCACTTAAGCTTGTTGAGGAATGGTTGATCTTCATCGGTGACGCATGAGGCATTAATACAAAATCATGTGCGAGATAATGTGTTCTCAGATACTTGCTTTGTGTTTGTTGATGGGTACATCTTAAAATAGATGTTATGGATTAGTGACGTTGTGTATGCGTGACTGTGTGAGATCTGAAAAATGAGTTATACACTCACTGGTCACTTTATTAGGTACACCTTACTAGTATCATGTTGGACCCACTTTTGCCTTCAGAACTGCCTTAGTCCTTCATGGTATAGATTCATCAAGGTACTGGAAATATTCCTCAGAGATTTTGGTTCATACTGACATAATAGCATCACACAGTTTCTGCTGATTTGTCAGCTGCACATCCTTGATGTGAATCTCCTGTTCCACATCATACCAAAGGTGCTCTATTGGATTGAGCTCCGGTGACTGTGGAGGCCATTTGAGTAAAGTGAACTCATTGTCATGTTCAAGAAACCGAGATGATTTGCATTTTATGACATGACGCGTTATCCTGCTGGAAGTAGGAATCAGTAGAGATCACACTGTGGTCACAAAGGTTTGGACATGGTCAACAACAATACTCAAGTAGACTGTGTTGTTGTCACAATGCTCAATTGGTACTAAAGGGCCCAAAGTGTGCCAAGAAAATATCCCCCACACCATAACACCACCACCACCAGCCTGAACATTTTATACAAGGCAGGATTGATCCATGCTTTCATGTTGTTTCAGAAATCGAGATTTGTCAGACCAGGCAATGTTTTCGCAATCTTCTATTGTCTAATTTTCTTTTGCTGTAGCCCATCTGCCTCAAGGTTAGGCATCTTGTGCATTTAATATTCTTCTGCATACCTCGATTGTAACAAGTGATTATTTGAGTTAGTGTTGCCTTTCTATCAGCTTGGATCAGTCTGGCCATTCTCCTCTGACCTCTGGCATCAACAAGGAATTTGCATTCACAGAACTGACACTCACTGGATATTTTCTCTTTTTCTGACTATTCTCTGTAAACCCTAGAGATGGTTGTGCGTGAAAATCCCAGTAGATCAGCAGTTTCTGAAATCAGACCAGCCCATCTGGCATTAACAACCATCACTTTCACAAAATCACCTTTCTATCCCATTGTGATGCTCGGTTTGAACTGCAGCAGATCGTCTTCTCCCTGTCTACATGCCTGAATGCATTGAGTTGCTGCCATGGGATTTTTGCTTTAACGAGCAGTTGGACAGATGTACCTAATAAAGTGGCCAGTGAGTGTATATTATCAGTTGTTTTAACGTTGCTATTTTTCTGTCAAAGGATTCAATCTTGAGATTGAATTCAAAATTTAGCAGCACTTTAGTTCACACTTTAGTTCATTTCATTTCATGCTATTAACTACCAGCTTATTACCTGCCTATTTTTAAGATATTAACTGTTCATTAGTAGTTATAAAGTATGATAATCCCAGCCAAAACCTAAACCCAACTTCTACTTTACTAGCTATTAATAAGCAGCTAATTAGTAGGTTATTAAGGCAGTGGTGTTAGTTAATGGTTTGGTAATATCGTGAATTGTGACTTATAATAAAGTGTTTATTCAAAATATTATTGGCAGATATGCAAATTCTTGCTGTTATGATTTTTATTATTGTTTAACAACTAAATTTTTTAACAAAAAAATATTTTTTCGGGGTTTGATCAAATAACAAATATGTTTTTAAATGACAGGAGTGTAAGAAATCAATGTGTGATGAAAAAGCGCTGATTTTTACCCACCACTCATTATTTGTTTTCACTAATTGTAAATGTAACATCATCAACAAGTTATTGTGGAGAGACTACTCACTCTTCTGACCAATGCTGTTAACAGTTTACAATATGGGTTCGCGAATATGCATTAGTTAATGCTTAACTAATGCAAAGATAATCATGAGATAAAGTATAACTCATGAAGAACCAAAACACGTAAGAATAGTAAATGCATGACCTACTAATGAACATTCTACCATTCTTACATTAAGTCATTTATAAATTGTTATAAGCTAATCGTTTTGTAATTCCCACATAACATAAACTACTGATGCAAATTCATGAGCTAATTACCACAACAGGTCAAATACATGCATTTCATGTAATTAATTAACCATTAGCTAATGATTTGTTTAGATGTCATTATGTTATGACATTACTTGTTGGGGCACAAACAGGATTAACAAGCTATTTGCAGTATATACTGTGTAACTAATGAGTTATCAGTCCTGTGCTTGAGCCAAGTCATTACATAGTGCTAACTTACCAAATACTAAGCTAGTAATTAATTCACTGGGGGCAAAGCGATAATGTAGTGCTGTCGCCTCACAGCAAGAAGGTCGCTGGTTCGAGCCTCGGCCGGGTCAGTTGGCATTTCTGTGTGGAGTTTGCATGTTCTCCCCTCGTTCGCGTGGGTTTCCTCCGAGTGCTTCGGTTTATACCACAAGTTCAAAGACATGCGATACAGCTGAATTGGGTAAGCTGAAATTGTCTGTAGAGAACTGTATGGATGTGAATGAGAGTTGCAGCTGGAAGGGCATTCGTTGCGTAAAATAGATAAGTTGGTGGTTCATTCTGCTGTAAACCCAGATTCATAAATGGACTAAGCCAAAAAGGAAATGAATGAATGAATAATTCATTGTTAGTTGAAGTAGATAGCTATGACTATTATGGTAATTAACGTAGGAATTTTTATAATTAGTTAAAATAGTATGTTATTAAGGAACTAATATCAATTTACAGATTACTTGATGTATGAATCATATAGAATGTTCATGTTTTGCTCATGCAGAAATCATTAATAGTTGATTTAGTTCTTAAAGAGATATACATTAACTCAAGATCATCTGTGCATTATTTATTGCATATTAATAAAGCCATTTTGTAAAGTGTTCTCACAATTTCCTGTAACTTACTGGCAGCAGTTTGCCAACTGTTTACTGTAAATCAAACATACAGCAAATGCTGTATTAATATATACAGTAAAATCTTGCTGTACATGTATTTCCAGTATTGTATATGTTTACGATAAGATGAGATTTCGCCCTGGGGAATGCCCATATTGCCCATGCTATATCCGCCACTGAGTAAATGCATCTTGCAAATGTTTTGACATTTTTATATAGAAATGAATGCAACAGCCTTGACCCAAAAGGCCCACTCAATATGCCAAGAAGTGTATTGATCACAGATAAGCAGCTTGTCTAGATCAGCGGGTTTACATTACTGTTGCTGCTTGCTTTTTGTCCCTTGAGAGAATTTAGTTTCTTTTCACAACAGATGTTGAAATCCTGGCAGGAGTCATATATCTATTCTTCAGTGTTACTCGTTCAGTCAATGCTTTGTCTGTTAGAGTATCACTGATTGAATTCAACACAGTGTGAGAACAATGGTCAAAACATGCTGTTGCCACCCTGACAAAACTGGAGATTTCTATTTAAGCATTTAATCCGCTGGTATATAATAAATACTGTTAAAAATCACCAGAAAGGGTGCTGAAGAATAAGATTAATCAATATGAAATTTACTGAATATTGTAATATTTTGTAAAAAAAAAAAAAAATGTAAAACTGACACACTCAACTGGATTGCTCCCTTCTTCATCTGCTATAAATATTCAATATTATTATTACCAATAATAATAATAATAATAATAATAATAATAATAATAATAATAATTATTATTATTATTATTATTATCCTAATAATAATCATACATAATAATACATACTATCTTGTAAAGTTGTTTAATAATGTATATATTAATGTTTTATTATTATTTTTTAGTTTTTATTTATTTATTATTATTAATAGTAATGCTAATATAAAACATAAATATCACAATATATTATTAATAATTATACACATTAATTACATTATATATTAATATATATTATATATTAATTAATTACACACACACACACACACACACACACACACATACACACACACACACACACACACACATATATATATTATGTAAAGATTGTTGTATTATTTTCATAATAATGTTTTATTATAATTTTTTATTTATTAAATAATAATAATAATAATATAAAATATAAATATCGCAACAAATTACTACTACTACTATTATTATTAAAACATTATTATGTAATGGTTGTTTTAAAATGTATATAATAATGTTTTATTATTCTTTATTTTTAATTTATTGAATAATATTAATATTACTACTAATAATATAATAACAACAATAATAATAAAAAAACATTAATATTAACAACAACAATAACAATAATGTAAAACATAAGATAATATTAATAAATATAATTTTTATTGTTGTTGTTATTATTATTATTGTTATTATTACTATTATTATTATCGCCATGTAAAAATTGTTTGACTAAATATACAGGTATAAACATAGTCAAATGTTTTACATTTATCTCTTGTAGTTATGTTTTGTATTTATCTTTAACAAGCTAACATTTTTTGTCTGATATTAAATAATAAATTGCTAAATATATATATATATATATATATACATTTCATCGTTTTTCTTGTAGTGTCTCTAATAGACAGCCGTGTGTTAGGCCTCTGTGATCATTATTTTATTTCCTTTGCTCACCCTGCAGGCTGGTTTGAAGGGTCAAAGCCTGAACTGCAGCTACGTGCAGCAAATATGGCAGGATGTTGAAGTCGCCGCTGGAATAAACGAAGACACCGTTGCTTTATGGTGTAACATCACCCTACTGCCAGCCATAGCAGCCTTCAGTATTCCAGATTTGACTCCAGCCTTCAATCTGACAGTGAGACAGTTAGCTGCAGTTTTGTTGTTGTTGATAATAGTTTACAAATAATCTGTTTTAAATGGATAGTTCACCCAAAATGTACATTCAACTCGCCACTTACCCTCAAGTGCTTCCAAACCTTCTTTCTGATGAACACAAGAAGAGATTTTGAAGAATGTTGGACAAATCGGCAATCATTGATATCCATGGTAGGAAAAAAATATATATTTCAAATAGATGGATTATATTTTGAATAAGTGACGTTTGAGTAAGTAATGAGGGAATTGTCTTATTTTGGGTGAACTATCTTTTTAATGGCTCTCAAATGCAACTGTCATAGTTCACCACTAGATGGCAGCGTGCACTAAAGACTGATTTAGACTCTCTCTCGCTTCCTAAACAGGGAATGGAGATAAACATCACTGCTGGAATGATAGCAGGGTCACTGGAGACTTTCTATGGAGCGATTCTGAACAATACCTTTGCTAGCAATCACCTAACAGAAGTCCTGCTGTATTACACATCAACACTATATAACGTCTCATTGTCAGAATTAACAAACCAGGTTGACTGGAATTCCCAGCTTTTCCAAATGCAGCTATACAACAGGTAATAATGTCTATTTTTTTTACAAGAACTCCTCACTGTGATACATGACCTGAGTCATATTAAATGACAGTAAACAAATAGCTTAAGATCTTCTATAAAGATACAGACTATGGGTTTGAATTGGTCATCCATTTTTTAAACAATTGCATATGTTGAGTAATCCGCCGACAACAAAAGTGCAGCATTTCCACCCCACACTCATATATATATATACCCATTAGAGCACAACATTATCACGAGCCCGATTATATTACGGAAATACCTCCTCAAATTTGCTGAGAGATTTGCAGTTATTACCCATAAGGACCAGAGGTTGGAATCATGCAGACAACCTAAGTAAGAGTAATTAAATTTGCATTAGGCTTGATTTATTCAGCTTGACTCCTATGCTTCCAAACATGTTTGAGCAGAGAAAGTAGTTTCTATTATTCCTTATCTCTATCTCCCTGCTCTTAAATTGATTCTGCTTTATGTGCTCATCCCTGTAATGAACTGACTACTGATAGGAATCAAATTATGCATTTGCGCATATCTGGGCAAATCAATCATGTAAGACTGTAGGAGCATTTATGCACCCGCTGTAGATCATTGAACATGATGGAAATCGTCTATTATAACTGTTCAGTTCTATTAATATAATGTGAGTGGTGGCTGAAATGGAGAACAAAATTAATTATGAGCTAATATTTTGCAGCGTTTAATTATTAAGTGACCCGGTTAAAAATTTTAGGGACATGTTATGTTTCTATGGCTAATTCATAAATGGTCGCATTAGATTCAAGCTATAATAAATCATCTTTCACATATATGCATAACAGTTCCTTATCTAATGGATCCTTGAAGGGGTCACCCAAAAATGAACATTTTGTCATCATTTACTTGCCCTACAATTGTTATTGGAGGTTCTTTCATCAATTGAATGCAAAATAGATGTTTTGAAAAATGATTGTTGCTGGCGCCCATTGCCTTCCAAAGTTTTTTCTACTATGGAAGTCAATTGGAGTCAGCAACCAGAAATATTAAATATTAAAAATATATTTTGTGTTTAACAGATGAATTTACCTTATAAAACAGTGGTCTCAAACTGCTAGCCCGCAAGCCATTTGTGGCCCTCCCTCTTCCTCTCTCCAGCCTGCAACTGATGTCAAAATATAGAAGGATTTGGCCCACTAAAACATGAATTATTGAATCACTATCATTGTTGTCAGTGTTACCAGATGTAGCTTACTGATTCCAGCTCTATCCAAAACCCACAGAAATGCAAAAACAACCGGCCAGATCATAATTCCCTGTTTTCGGGAATTAAATTATAGATCAGAACCGGTTTATAAGTGAAGACCTTGATTTGGTTCTGTAGAAATGAACAAACGCAGGTAATAAAGTGGGGTATTTTTTTCACCTGCACAATCAAATTCAAAACCGCCCAATTGCACGGGAAACTGATTGTTGTCAACACTGATTGTGGTTTTTACCCCCCACCTACTAGACATTTAAAATACTGTACTATATATCCGGGTTACTTTCGGTTTCTCTCAGTGTGCGGTCGAGAGTAACGCACATGCAGATTATTTATGGGGCTGATTTAAATGTTGAAATATGTCCGTAAGTGCTCTATTTTTACTAAAGCTCTATTTTTACAAATATTCAAGGGTCATTGTATTATAATCAGCTTTATACTACCTATATTTCGTTGTACAAACACTTCTTCTTGTTATGCTGCTGGTGTAAATATGATAATCTTTCTGATATCCGATTCAAATGTTCTCATTAATAGATTTTCCTCATATGCATATTAAGATTTGCATAAAAAATGTGCATTTGTAAAGTTTTACTGCTGGCAGAATTCAACATGTTAAAGTAAATGTGGCTATTTACATACTTTCCCCCTCTTTGTAGTAGTTTTACTAAAAAAAAACATGATATTAAGAAGAAACATTGTTTACTGTAAAGACACTAAAGTTACCCAGCCTTCTTTCTGCTGTCGTACGCTATCTATTAAACTCTTGGTTAAGCATTTTCATAGCCATTTAAACAACCCTTCAATATGTACAACAAAAAAACAATATACTCTGGGGAAGAATGACTGAGTGCATCAGTTACATAAGGTTTCCACTTTTTTTCTAAATGCTAAAATGGCCCTTTCTATGAATTGTCAGCCACTGATATGACAGTTTGAGACCCCTGTTATAAAATTTTAAAACTATATGATATAGAATAAATGATGAGACATTTTTTATTTTTGCATGAACTATCCTTGTTTTGTGAACATGCAGTACTAATTTTTCTCTCATTCTTCAGCCTCTCTACAGTTCAAATGGCTCTGAACCAAATTACAACAGAAGCTCCATGGATAGCACCATACATCGAAGCAATTGGAAAAACCATTGAGGTCATACAACAGAATGGCAACCTCTTCCAGAACTCAAATGCAAGCGCTCAGATCATCATCATGCAGGCTCTAGAGATCACACTCACCGGAATGAATTTTACACAGGAAACCATTAATTATATACTGAGTGGAGACATATTTATGAACCCCAATGGCATCACGGTTGACGGTTTATTAAAAGAGGTGATCCAGCAAATCATTGCTTCGGGATTGCTGGGAGACTGGCCTTCTCTTAATGGAGTAGTGCAGCAGATACTGTACTTGGACAATACAACTGGCATCCTATGCAGGATGACGGAATTGGTCAACTGGATGTTCACTTCTGAAGATACTGGGTTAAACTTTGTCTTAGAGATGCTGCCTAGGATGTATGAGATTATAAGAGATGCCTTAACCAACATCCCATTGTCGTGCTTCTCAAGTACGTTTTTCGACCTTGCTGGGAATGCTTTGTACATGCTGAGGCAGATCAAACTAACCAGTGACCTCTTCGCCCCTGCGGAGCTATATCTAAACCCACTAAACATGCAAATTGCTCAGGGTGACACCCTGCAAGGTCTTGTTTCCCAATCACGAAACAACAGAACATATGCAATACAAAGAGAGCCGATAGATGACTTTCTTGATCTTCTAGACATCAACTACCAAACCCTACTTCAAGTGCTCTCAATTCCGCCTACCAGCTTTGAAATTCTTGAAACGGCTCACGTGTTCTTTACGAATCCAGATTTGGGAGTCATCCTGAAGGGTCTTTCTGCAGGAATGAATGGAACCACGAGTCAAGAGGAGACCATTGACACTGCTCTAAATGTGTTGTCTTACTTGACACTTCCAAGCAATGGACTGCAGTTCCTTGAGATGTTCATGAACATCAGTAGCAATGGATGGGGTTTGCAGGACTTTGCTAATATACAGAAGCTGGTAGAGAACCTTGGAGGAATGATTGACACGGCAATGCTGCTGTCCAACCAGCCGTCTCTAAACATTGCGCAAAGAATCCAGCAGATGGCCCAAGAATTTCAAGCTTCAGTCTCAGACATCGTCTCACAGGGAGGAAATGGCACCGACACCACAATTCAATTCCTCACCGCGCTCAACAACATCCTCACCCAGAACTTTGAGCAAATCAAGAACATCACCCCTCAGGTCACTGACATCCTACAAAATATAATTGGCTCATTTTCCAGTCCAGGTTCACAGATGAATGTGGAAACCTATTTGGAAGCCTTGGATCAAACTGTTGGAGCCTTCGCCTCGCTCCTCTCTGGAGATGTAGTGGCGTATTTTAACATGTCTGGACAAATGCTGCAAGCCTTTGCATTGCTTGAGGCATATCCCGAAGACATCGAAAAAGTCACTAGGTCTACCGTCATGATTTCTGACTCCCTAATCCAGCTCCTTGGCCTCTCAAACATTTCAGCTCTTCCCAACGGACAATCTGTTGAAGAGGTCACCCGTCCCCTTATTCTGAGCAGTGCTGTAGCAACCCACATCCTATTCAACCTCTCCAGGTCAAACTACAGCCTGAGCAGCAATGTTGAGAAGGATATGCTTTTGACCCAGACGTTCAATCAGATGATGGGTGTTCTCCCAGGGGAATCTCACGTGTACCTCTTTGCTATCAAATCAGCTCTTTTCGATGCCCTCTCCAATGTATCTAGCACTTCAGAAATTCAATCTCACTTTCCAGAAATCTCTCAAATAGTTACACAATCTCTTCTTAACTCCCTGAACATTACATATGATCCGAAATCCATGACTCCAGATGGCATTGTTTACATCTTGATGACCGTATCCAATCAAGTGTCCATGAGTCTCTACGAGGGGCTTATGTTAAATGGATCCCCCTTGCAAATCTCAGAAGTGGTCAACTCTTTAAATGAGGTTGCGTTCACCCTTTACTCAATATTGCCTGTTGAGGGAAGGATGTACATCAATATCACGCTCAACCTCATGGAGACATTGGATTTCGCTCTTAATGACAACAATACCTTTGGGGATTTGGAAGGCGCTGTTTCTCAGGTTGTCAATTCTGTCAACGTGCTCCTGGACATGGTGCCTCACATCAACACAAGCTATTCCAGCAGCATAATAGGTGACCTAGAGCAAACCCTGAAGACAATCTTAATGATCATCCAAGCAGACCAAAGCCCTGTCAGCCAAACAGCTGATATTACCCAGCAGCTGCTGCAAACCATCCAAAATCTCATCACATTGGGCAATAGCAGCAGTGTGGAGCCTGAACTCGCCAAAATAGTGCTGGGTGCTGCTAGCAATGATATTGACCCTCTGCTGGGGATGAATGACACTAACTGGACAGACAAGTGAGTTTCTTTGAAGTTGTGCTTTCTGGTTATTGGCTTATAACAAGTCTTAGTTGCTTTTTTTTCTTTTTATTTAAATGTTTTTTGTGTAAAAAGCGTCAGCTGTTAAAATACAGAATTATGTACCAATTTTGTATTTCATATCACGATATAAGTCATCATATAAGTCATATATATATATATATATATATATATATATATATATATATATATATATATATATATATATATATATATATATATATATATATATATTGATACAGTTAAAGTCAAAATTATTAGCCCCCCCCCAACCCCCCCCCCCATTGAATTTATTGATTTTTAAATATTTCCCAAATTATGTTTAACGGGGCAAGTAAAATTTCACAGCATAACTGATAATATTTTTTCTTCTGTACAAAGTCTCATTTGTTTTATTTTGGCTAGAATAAAAGCAGTTTTTTTATTTTTAACACAATTTTAGGGACAAAATTATTAGCCCCTGTTAAGAAATTCAAACTTGCTTGGCTACACACAGCAAGCCAGACCTGTAACAATAAATAATATTAAATTAAAATAATTAGAACTCCTCTAAATTAATGAGGAGCCCGGAGTCTGATCTCCCGTTTAAAAGTAAAGACAACAACAAAAACGAATGAGTCAAATTTATTTGATGTTATAATTTCAAAAAGGAGACTATAAAAAGCTTGTGGAGGTAAATGCCAAAATAACAAACAAAACTCAACAGCTAACTAAGTTGTTAACCTTCTTACCTGCACATGAAATTAAACAAATAAAATAACATTCACTTACCTCCCTACTAATCACAAAACATGAGGAAAATGTAATAAAACAAAAAGGCACCCTCCTCAGCAGACGTGTCTCCGTATAGATCTCAAAGTCAACACTCAGCATTCACTTTCAACAATTTAGCCGAGTAAAATACACACAGTTTCTACTCCACAACACAAACAACACAAGCTGGGAGAGAGGAGACTCTCCGAACGACGTTCCAGTCCGATTTAAATTGTCTTCACAACAAGCCGGCCTCTACGTGCTGGCTGGCACCTGATTCACCGCACCTATGCGGTAATGATGAAACCTATTTGGAGACAGAGGCGGAGAGAAAAGCACCACACACAATGCACACACAAAAACAAATCAAAAACCTCTCTACTTAAGACATTTATTTATATATATTATTTTTATATTATTATTTAATTATTTAAAGAAAATACGTAACAGCCCCTTTAAGCTAAATTTGTTTTCGATAGTCTACAGAACAAACACTCATTATACAATAACTTCTGATATATGTGAAGTTTCATAAACTAATTTCGAGAGGAGCACGTGATATGATTGTGCACCGCTGGCCACTCATCCTTAATCAGTAATAATCCAATCAGAATGATCTTAGCTTAATATTAATAGGTCACTTTCTCTTTATTGCTCTATCTTCGTTTTGGAAGAATCCCCCCTTCCACCCCATTTCCTCCTTTTTCTCCCCTTCTAAAGGGGGAGCGATCGAGACCTACCTGATCTCGGTTCTCCTGATATGCTTCTAGACCGGGCGGGAGCCCTGGGCTCAAATATCTCAGAGCTCAGGGTTCTCTCCCGGGACAGCATGCCGAGCCTGCTATAAATGCCAAGCATATCTAAGTGGGAACTCTTGAAATCTATTTGAGCATTGTCAACTCCCAGAAAGAAAAAAAAAATCTACTTACTCCATGAAATCAAGACTTAAAATTTTTTTTTTTGCTTATTTTAGGGACAAAGTAAGGGCTTCCATATTGCAAATTTCTATTACATTTCTTACTTGAGTGGGAGAGTTACTGTAGGTTCATGCCAAGAAGTCCTAGTTTCTATTTCTTTTTGTTGTTCTTTGCAAAGCTATTATTTGCCTCACATATTTCCAACCACCATGGCATTTATGCAGCGTAATTGCTTACATCTTCAAAAAAATATGGTTTATGGCTTTGAAAATAACACATTCTAGAGGTCATGAAAATAAATGATCATTATCTACAGTGTAGCACATTATGATTAAGTAAATTCAACTTTGTTAATTCTACTTTTTTGTTTATGTAGGCTTTCTGTGCTGGTGACAAACTTTGCTAATAGCCTTCCGGATGACCTTCCGTATTCTTCTTTTATTAAGACCACCATGAGAAGTCTGGCCAACGAGTCCCAAGGTACATAAATCATCTCGCAAGATCTACTGACCTATAACATTGTTCATTCAAGGGTTTTATTGCCATATTTTAATGTGCTGATACATACAGTTGCATAAAGCGTGTAAAAGTACGTTGCATTCATCCGTGTGAATATGCAATTATTTCTTTGCGTAATTTACATTTGTTTAGCTCAAGAACAAGATTCATGTGCACAGTAAATGCTGCAGACTCAAGATTCTCCCACTGAATAAATGACTTCTACTAATCCCAGTAGACCTTAAACAATGCATGTTGCTTTATGTTTGTGTCATCGCAAAGATTTGTAGGTTTTCACAGCAATGCAGGTTTGAAGCCAGCTTTAATTTGTTTTTGGAGGGATATTCAGCTAAAGAGAGCATGAAATAGAAGCATTTTACAGCATTTTCCTTGCTACTTATTATTGCTTTAAATGAGTGGTTTAACGCAAAATGTATAATTGTCATTATTTACATATTCTTCTGTCTTTCTGAACATGTACAGAATCAATTTGTTTTTAAAATAAGTTTATTAGTGTGAAGTTATTCAAGTAGCACATTTGGTTAAATTTGCTGAAATATATTACAAATATTTTAATTCTTTTTTACCCTGTTGATGCCCCAAGAGAAATCTGATACATGGGAACACAAGCAAATGACATACCACAACTACAAGTTCATGTTCAGATTTTTTAGATTTTAGGGGCTGAGTAAAAACCCTTCTCCAATATTTTGCATTTGAACTGCCATATCTATGTCAACCACGTTGTCATTCCTATAAACTAAGCAATTATTGCATTTAAATGTAGATTTGTTTTTAAGAGCAAGCATTAAGTCTTGTACATTATTTAATGGACCTAAACTGTTGCAAACATTAAACATACTTATTATAAATATTAAAGAAATGATAAATAAACTCTTTTAGTTAATTAGTTAAATTTAGTTAATGCATTTAGTAATATTGTCTAATGAGACCTTATTTTAACATGTTACCCCACAACCCCCCACCCCCACCCAAAATTGCCAAAATATATTACAAATGTTTTAATTATTCTTTTCCCTGTTGATGCACAAAAATAAATCTGATATATGGCGACATTTGCAAATTACATACATGACATACAAGTTCATGTTTAGATTTCACGTAAATAAAATGTCATATTTGAGATACATATTTCAAAATATTGAAAAAATGGCTGTTTACAGAAATATATTTTTTTAATTATTGGGATTACAAATATGTGCATATATGTTATACATACTTATATATATATATTCATACCCCATGGGTGTATATTATAGCTAATTATTTAAACATATATGTAAGTCCAATGGTAAAATACATATTCTAGTATATACCAATGGTATATATGTACTGCTCAAAAAAAAATAAATAAATAAAGGGGTCAGTGCCAATAGCCTGGTGGTTAATTGCACCAACACATGGCACTGAGGTGCTCACGGCGACCCTAGTTTGATTCCCGGCTCGAGGTCCTTTGCCGATCGTTCCCCCTCTCCCTGCTCCAAATTCTTTCCTGTCTAATCCTTACTTTACTATCCAAACAAAGGTGAAAAAATTCTAAAAAAATAAAATAAAAAAGGGAACACTTAAACAACACAATCTAACTCCAAGTGTTCCCTTAATTTTTTATTTTTTTTTATTTTATATTTTTTTATAAGATTAAAATATGGAAAAATATCAGATATAGTAATTTCTGTAAATTTTCCTAACGTATAAACAGCTCTCGTTAATATTTCATGCATGTTTTTAAATTCTCACATTTACTGGTGGGAATGACATCCCGCCCTATATGATTCTCTTTTCATATAGCCATATATATGGGTATTACATAACCATAATACACTGTGATTTAGCCTGGTTCGTTAGTTCGTTGGATCGGTTTGCTTTCTTACCACAATTGATCCGCTCCAGAGTTTGTTTCTATCAAGCCGAGACAACCTCATTCAGGCGATCTTAAGCTGATTGATCAGAGCGCGATTGTTGGATGGACTATATGGACACAGACCAAGGGCTTCCGGTGAACTGTCTTTCCAATACAAAATTGTCACATTTAAGATCTGTTTTCTTTAAAAATCAGCTATGTTGACTGCCTGTTAGATATGCCATATGAAGTTGATTTCAGATCAGACAAAAAGCACTGCAATAAATTCCATTTCCTCCCGCCATGCCTTTAAAATATGACATTTTATTTTACCCCAGTATTTTCAATAAAGTTTCTGCACTAGCCTGTTGCTACTGATGGCGCTGGTGGTTACAATGGTCTTTCATCTTGTTTTAAGCTTGAACAACTAAATCAATGCTTAAGTCTATTTAACTGAATATATTGTAATTAAATTAGAACATCGATGCTGTAAAAACAAACTTGTGAAATTGGAAATAATCACATTAAACTTTCACCAGAAGTTTATCATTGCTTTAAAACTCTAGCTGTGCATAGAGCCCATTCAAATATGCCAAACAAACGAGATTCAGAAACAAACGTCTAGGTGTGAAAGCACAATATAATGTAATTCCAAGTATTCCCTTTATTTTTTTGAAGTAACATACAGTGCCTATAGAAAATCATTGTAGCCCTTTGAAATTTGTCATACAGCCTGAAATCATATCACATTCCAAATAACTTTTCCAGCCTTTGAAAGGTTATTGTCGCCTTCTACTATTGTGTTCCTTTCTACAGCTTTTTTTTTTGGTGAGTAAAGGTATATATTTTCACAGGGTATGATGATTTTCAATATATTTCTATACATATTTTTCTGTATACTGTATATATGACATATTTTATATATGTGAAATCTAAACCTGAACTTGTTTGTCATGGATGAATTTGCATATGTTGCCATATATGAGATATAAGGTTGATTTAATCTAACAAATTGTATATGTGCTTTTGGTTGAACTATTATTTTATTGCATTTTTTAAAAAGTATAGAGCTCTGTGCTCCAGAGCGCACCATTTTTTCCCCCTCTCTGTAGATCCAAGGTATTTTTCTTTTCTTTTTTGTCTGCAGAGCGCCCTCGTTTTCATTGATAAATCGCTGTTAAGCCTCTCAGTTTGCTTTTTATTTCCTTTAATAAAGCCAATGTCTTGTTGAGCTTTTAATTTCCCTAATAAGTGTCTGATCTTTAATATAGCTTGAGGTGTTGCACACATAGGAGCTGTCAGATCTAAATCAGCACACAGTGCCATAAAGCTCTTCAGTGTCTTTTTTCTAAGGGGGGTTTCTTTGCTAGATCATTTGCTGCTTGCTGCACTGTGAGGTTGGCCTGAAAGTGGAGTTAGGTGCAAGTAATGATGCCTGTAGGGAATTTAAGTTACTTTAGCACTGCTAAAGCTTGATCTTTGTTTTCCCTCTTCCATGTCTCCTGCCTCTCTGCAGAAAATCTGCATCTGCTACTGCAAGTACTAAACACTAGCTTGGAATTTGTCTCAGCCAACGGGGCAAATGGAAGTTCGAGTCAGATACTGGACAGCCTTTTAACTCAGGTGAGATTTTAAGGGTTTATAGCATTTATTCATATAATACTGTAGGTAACCCAAATCAACACTCTATAAAACAAGTTACAAAAGGAGAAATTATTTATTCATACAACTCATATGGCATATTTCGATAACACTTCATAACTGCACACTATAGATCTATAATTAAGCATTAGCACATAGTTGATTAATCATTTGTTAAGCACTAACTCTGCATTAATAAATATTAGTTTGCAGCTACAAATGCGGTCTTCTTGACTTATACACACATATATAATGTGCTTTATGATAATATTTTTATACTTTGTTAATTATACATTTCACTACTAAATTAAGTGTTGCATTATTTATCAACCAGTTACTGAAGAGTAGTTTGTGGGTTTAAGTTCAGAATGAGTGAGCAAATGATTAATAATCTATTCAAATGAACATTTATACAGCTTACTTTCCATGCATAATAGTTATTCTGCATGTTAAATGCTTTATTAACAAATTCCTACAGTTTTGTGAACTCATCTAAAGTGAGAACTAGAGTCAGTTACATTATAGGGGCTCCATTTTAATGATCTAGGCGCAGGGTCCAAAGCGCAGGGTGCAAAAGCATTAAGGGCTTGTCAGAATCCATTTTTGCTATTTTAAGGATGAAAAAAAATAGACTATGCACCGCTGCGCGTGGTCTAACAGGGTTGAGCTTATTCTTTTAATGAGTTATAAGCTTGTTTTGAGAATAAACCAATCAGAGTCTCATCTCCTATTGCCTTTAAGATTCAGTTGTGTCACGTCATGATGGCGCATTGCTTTTTACATGGCAGACTTTGTAAGTGGAAAAACTGAGCACTTCACTAGTGAGAAAACAGTTAAACAGAGTATCTGCAGCGCGAGAATAAGAGAATGAGCCTCCTCATTCTTTACTTTCACTTTTCTCTTTTCACTCTCAAAGATTAGTTTCAAAACTATTTCTAAATTCAGTTCTAATTTCCAGCAAATTAATAAATGAACAATAATAACGAAGTGTGTTCAAAAAAACTGAGTTATATCCAAAGACACATCTTATGCCCCATATGGTATAAATCTTGACAGATGGGCAAATCTAAGTTTGTTTTTTAATAAAACAAATGTAAATATGCATGTAATAAATAATACTATAACTAATAATAACATTAGGCAAAAGCAAATTGTCATGAATAAACTGAAAAGACCCCCCGAGATAAAGAAGGCATGAAGGCAGTGGTTTTTATATTTATGTAGATCATAATCATTTTTGTAATATTTTACTATTTTAATTTTTCTATTTGTGTATTGCTGTACATCCTGTGTGTATTAAGCAATGTTTTAGCGAGGTGCACAAATAACGTGCTCTGCGCTGGACTTTAGACCTGCTCTCAGCTGGTCTATTGTGCAGTCTATTTTAGTTCTTTAAAATAGCAACGCGCCATTAATACGCCTTAAACTGACTCTTATCTAGAGCGAAACACCCATGAGTCCACAAAGTGGCGCAAATAAATTTGCAATCTTAACAACATGGCAGAAAATGTGAAAATTATGGTCTAAAAATAGCAACACGTCATAGAAACATGTTTTGCGCCTTATTGCTCCAGGTGTATGATAGGGCCCAGGGTGTTTATTTGTTGTTGTGGCAAGTAAATTTTCCAGTTGTGGAATTATTAAAGTATAATCTTCATGTAGTTCTTGCACAAACTTTGGTTTCCTGAAAGATATTGTATAAGACAGGGGCAAAATTCACTTGTTTTAAACTTTAATGATAACAAACCACTTTAGATTACTTAAAACTCCTGTTTAAAATGTTCATGAGGCAAAGATAGTTATCAAACTCGAAATGTAGGGTATTCTATACAGTTTGTTCAATGTTATTTAATGCTCCAAATATGAATGAAAGGGAGAATTGTGTATTTAGAGTTGTTCACATCTGCCTGAGTGGTTTATATGGGGTTACATTGCCATCTGAAAGCTAAAGGTAATTGTGCCAATGAAAATGGTTTTTACTTCACCTTTACTTAAAACGTTTGGACAACCCTCTTTTAATCAGAAAAAAAGAAATGAACAACATTGTGATTCAGAGTAAAACAAATATAATTTCAACATACCACAATGAAACATTTGCAGTCTCATCTAAAAATAAAATTACTCTACAGTTTGCAAAACTTAAAGAACAGGAGTGTCATAATGCAATATTAAATTTGATAAAACTATGACAACAAAATAACTAAACAATATGACGATGTGATAAAACTTCAGTGACAATTTCAGTGTCGTTCAGCAATGTCAAGAATTAAACTCTGTAACTTCTTTTGTTCAATAATGCAGGTTTGTGCTCTGGAAAACATGACGTCTGTGCAGCAGATCAGTCAGTTTCTACCTCTGGGCCCCAGATTACTTTGCGACACTGTTGTTCCAGCAGTCCAAGCGGTCTATGTGCTCACAACCAGCTTGGGGAACCATAGCGTCAACATCTATGATCTGATTTTCCAGACGTTTATTGGAGACCTGAGCACTTACAACACTGGAGTGGACTGGTACTTGTTTCTATAATGACCTTTAACCTTGCCGTTATAGGTTGTATTATGCTTGTTTATCAGAGTTAGGGATTAGTTTAATTACATTTTTAATAACTGGAGTAGCTAATTTCTTTCCAAATACAATATAGCATTTTCACTACTTGTTCAGAGGTTTCACTACATATGCTGTTAGTGCCACATTCTATAGCACATGTAGATGCTGTATGTAACTCTTGAAGCGCATAAAAATACTGGAATTTGCATATTTAAAGCTTGTTTATCTAGAAAACTATGATACAGTTAAATAATTGGATTTAAAAATGTGCGTTCCATGAATGTCTTTGTTTTGATTTGTGTAACCATCTGCTTTTAGAAACTACCTCAGTGCGCCATTTGCTGTTAAAAACTAGCCTAGAGCAACACCAACTGTGAGAAGCTAACGTAGAGCGCCATCTGAGGTTTAAAACTAGCCTAAAGCCCCACCTGCTGTTAACAGCTCGCCTAGAGCACCATCTCCTGTTAAAAAATAGCTTAGAGCGCCATCTGCTGTTAAACTTTAAGCTTATAATAAATAAATTTTAAGTTATATGTTTCGTTTCCAATTATCTCAGATATATTATTTTAGATTTGTTACGCATGATTAGTCATTATAACAATACTCATATGTTTATTCTTATGTTTTGTTTTTAAAGGACATCAATTCTCTCTCAAATTGTGGGCTTCAACGTCTCCTCTCTGAAAACTATTAGTATCAACATTACCTCTCCAGGTATGTCTGTATCTGTGGCCTCCAGCCGAACCACAGCTCAAACACAAAGTGTTCTAAACACTGAGACGGTGGTCCGATCACTCTTTTTTTCTACCTTGTCACGCATGCAGGTCTCACTTGTCTTTTTGTTTTTTGACAGCTGAAGTGAAAGTTTCAGAGCTGCTGAAAAACACAACACTGTTTGTTGAGGATGTGGAGCGCTACACAAGCTTTCCCCCTGGCGTTCTGCAGACTGTGCTAGATTCCCCTTTACCCAGCAGCAACATGCAGGTACAGCGCAACTCATGCATACATCAGAGGGACTCAAAGATGTGCCCAAAACACAAGGTTTCACATTGAATAAAATAAAACAGATTGAATCTCACTTTATTCTGAGGAAGATGAGCTCCCCCCTGCTGAGCCTTGGTTCATCCCTAGAAATTTCCTCCTCATTCTGTGTAAACTTTCTTTTCCACTGTTGTGGTTGACTCGCTCACAAGGAATCGCAGAGCTTTATTCTTGAAACCTGCACTTAAATGGAAAACAAATATGGTGCAGAAAGTACTTTTAATTAGAAATTTTCTCAATTAATTTTACGATTTATTACAAAAAAAACTGACATCACAATAATAATTTAAACAAATCATTTCACATTCTTAAGAAGACATCAATATGCTTTAATTTTATATATATATATAAAATATATATAACTATAAAAGATATATAAGTACACTTCTTCACTCTTCAACCTTGTGTATTACTCCACCCACATACAGCAACAAGCAGAGGACACTCTACAGTTTGACAAATATTGCTTCTGTTGGAAAACATCATGTACTTTTGAGGGTATTTTGTTGAAAATTCAGTTGTTTAGATTGCAACTATACAGTTTATTCATAAGGATAGTGAATATTTTTAAATATTTATAATTTTGGAGAGACAGCGCATTGGCGGCCATTAGCCTGTCATTCTGAGCAAAGACGGTTGACATTGTACATCCACGAGATGGCGACAGAGATCGCATAATAAGCCCTTAGAGGAGGAAAAATACAGCGTAATTTCTAACTACAGCTGATTAAATCATTATAAAACTGGCAAGTGATATTCTAAGTTGATCTCTCTCTTTTGTATGTTGTACTGTATGTGTTTATACTATATGATTGTAGTGTATTAAGTGTGAGATGGGATTCGCATATGAGGAATGTATGTTGTGTTGGCAGAAAGAAGAAATTCCCGCATGTGTTTATTGTTTTTCCTTATCGCAAACACAACAGTAATCTGGTAGTGATTGCGCTGCTTTTTTTCAAAGTTAATTATTGTGATATCCCGGTTGCAACAGAGAGATACTGTAGATTGTAATAGACTGTAATACTGTAGGGAGATATCTCTGTAGACGGATGGCATTTTATGTCACGTTCAGCCTTATAATCTTAAAATTTGAGCAACATCACCTGTTTTGTCATCACTTTAGACATTACGCTAGAGAATCATTTAAATATTAGCTCTAAAGTGACATTGGTGACGACTTCTGCTGTTCTGACATCAGCTGCAGATGTGAATGAATGGCAGAAGAAAGTAGTTTCTAATACAAAAGAGTGCTTTACGTAAACAATATTAAAAGAAATATAAAATACTAGAAAAATGAAAAAAAGAAAAAAAATTATTAAAAAAGATTACAAATGTGGTTTAAAAGCAATGAAAACATAAAAGAAAGACAATAGTGCAATATGTAATCTGTACTCTGTTCCTCGTCTACCTTCTTTTAGTTTTTCTCTGCTTCTTGGTATTACAATCAAAAGCTTAAACTACAGAAATGAATATGATTGTGGTATAGTTGGAATAATCTTGAAGCAGAGTAAACTGTTTTAGCTGTTACACTATAAATGATTAGTTGACTTTGCCTAAAATACGGGAGTAAACTCTTTGCCTTAACATTTTGAATTAAATGAAATGTGCATAATTGTCAAAAATAAGTTAAATCAACTTTACAGTTCTTCGGCTTAGACCCTTATTTATGAGGGGTTACCACAGTGAAATGAACCAGCAACTATTCCAGCATATGTTTTTGCAGTAGATGCCCTTCCAGCTGCAACCCAGTTCTGGGAAACGCCTATACACTCTCGCATTCTCTCACACACTCATACACTATGGACAATTTAGTTAATCCAATTCACTTATAGCACATGTCTTTGTACTATGGGGGAAACGTAGCACCCAGATGAAACCCACACGAACACGGGGAGAACATGCAAACTCCACACAGAAATGCTAACTGGCCCATTCGAGACTTTAAGTTGACAGTGCTAACCACTGAGCCACCATGCCACCCTGGATTTACTCACTTTTTTCAACTTGTTGCTTTTAAGGCAATGGGTTTACTCACTTTTTACAGTGTAATAAGCCATACATGTAGGGATGTTGTCTAATGAGATGTGTGTGATGTCTCTTTTTGTCCTCTCCACAGATCTTGGTGTGGTTGGCAAACCTGCAGCAGTGTTCAGACCCCTCGTCTCTGCAACTAGACCCTGCAGGGCAGGCAATGTTCAGTGCCTTCTGTGATCTGTCAGATGACTGGTACACCATCAGCATTCTCTTCCTTCGCCACATGGACACCAAGGCTATTTTATTCAGGGTAAACAACTGGGGAGCACAGAGGGAACTGTTTGTAATGTATATCTGGTGAAACAGAAATGCTGCTTCTCTCAAATAATTTTAGTCAGATAAGATATAGAGGTGAAGTCAAAATGATTAGCCCTCCTGTGATTTTTTTTTTCTTTTCTTTTCTTTTGCAAATATTTGCCAAATGATGTTTATTGGGGAAATATATACAGGGCCTAATAATTCAGGAGGGTGAATAATTTTGACTTCAGCTGTATATATTAAACAATTTTGGTTACTTTTTCTTTGTAAATAAATAAGTGTATTATGCAATATGTTGTTACCCAGTGGTGCTGTGTGCTGTAATACTGTGAAATGTTGTTGCAGCTGATGTTGTCCCAAGATATTCAGGATTTGGTGGCAACTATGCTAGAGATGGTTAAGTTTTTGACAAACATGATGAACAAACTGGTACCTGCCATTAACAAGCTACAGGAATACCTGACAAACATAGGACAGCTGAACCTGGTGGCCAATCAAGAGTTCCATGGTGTAAGTTCCCTTTTTTTCCTTTTTTTCTTTTTTCTTTTTTCTACTTTTTTGTTTTTCTTCTTTTCTTTTTTCTTTTTTCCCTTTTCTTTTCTTTTCTTTTCTTTTCTCTTTTATTTTATTTAATTTCTTTTCTCTTTTCCTTTTCTTTCTTTCTTTCTTTCTTTCTTTCTTTCTTTCTTACTTTCTTTCTTTCTTTCTTTCTTTCTTTCTTTCTTTCTTTCTTTCTTTCTTTCTTTCTTTCTTTCTGTCTTTTCTTTTTCTAATTTCTTTACTTTTTATTCTTTTCTGTTCTCTTTTTATTTTCTTATCTCCTTTTTCTTCTTTGCTTTTCATTTCTTTTCTTTTCTTTTTGCTAAGATTTTTTTTACTTAATATTTAATTAAATTTTCTTTTCTATTGAAACTTGTTCTTTTATTTTATATCATTTTTATATTTTATTTTGCTTGACATATTAAAAATTTGTTTTTGCTTAGATTTATTCACTTTATATTTTATTTTATTTTTAGTTATATCAGATAATTTTATTGAATTTTGATATTTTATTTATTTTGTTTTATTTAGATTTTGTTTTATTTTAATTAATTTAAAATAAATTAGATTTTTTCACTTTATATTTTATTTTATTTCAATATAGTTTATTTTTGTTTTTCTTTTATATTGGATTATTTTCTTTTCTTTTATATTTTCTTGTCTTTAATTTTGTTCATTCTAATTTTTTTATTTTTTCTGTTTGCTTAGATTACAATATATTTTAATTTTTGCTAATAATTTTTCACTTTATATTTACTTTTATTTCAATTTATTTTCTTTTTCATTTATATCAGATTATTTTATAAATTCAATGTTTATTTTATTTGAGTTATATAGATTTTACTTTGTTTTTGATATTTTAAACTAAATTTAAATTTAATTTGATTAATTAAATTAAATAAAAAATAATTTAGATTTTTTCACTTTGTTTTATTTTAATTAATTTATTTTTTTCTTTTTTTATATTGTTTTATTTTATTTTCTTTTACTTTTTTATTTACTTATGTTTATTTTATCTTGTTTCTTAGTTTTTTAAAATCTTTTTTTTGCTTAGATGTTTTAATATTTTATTTATTTTTTTATTATTTAAATTAAATTAAATTTTATTTTATTTTTAACTAAAACATGTTTCTAAATTGTCTCTCCCACAGCTGGTGAGAGGAAAGCGGTCCACCATATCTAGCAAGGCCACCTTTAACACCCTCTCTCGTGCTTTGTGCAAAAACGGCATCCTGACACTGTTTGCCATCACCAAAGTCCCAATCGTGACCGCAGCCGATCCCTCCGTCCAGTCAGACCACAAGAGAGAAGAGCTCATAGAGAAGTTCAAGATCCCACACGATGCCAGTATGAATACATATATTCTCAGCACACTGCTAAAAGTGCAATAAAGCATTATGATAATGAGCTGTCGGGAATCTGCTTACAGCATATTGAGTTCAGATTGATGAAGTGCTGTGGTCAGGCTTAATTAATTAATATACTGCTTATGTCCTGCTCTCCAGGTCCCTTCTGTATGAGCCTGTTCTTAGACATGGTGAACACTACAGGCGGTGCGGTGGCTTGGGCTTTCCTTAAGCCAATGCTGTTAGGACAGATCCTGTACTCTCCGGACACACCAATGACCAGAGAGATCATGAGAAAGGTGATGTTTTAACACATCCTGAAATAAATATCAGACATCTAAGCCACATTTACCCTTATAACAGTTTTTAACAGTAGATTCTGCTCTAGGCTAGTTTTTAACAGTAGATGGCTCTTTATGCTAGTTTTTAATGGTAGATGGTGCTCTATGCGAGTTTTTAATAGTAGATGGTGCTCTAGGCTATATTTTAACAATAGATGTGACTCTAGGCTAATTTTTAACACTAGATGCCGCTCTAGCCTATTTTTTTTTTACAGCTGATGGCACACTGTGCTAGTTTTTAATAACAGACAGTTTTCTAGGCTAGTTTTAAACGGTTGATGGTGCTCTAGGCTAGTTTTTTTAGTTGATGGTGCTCTAGGCAGTTGTTTTTAGTTGATGGTGCTTTAGGCTAGTTTTTTTTAATAGCAGATGACACTCTATGCTAGTTTTTAATGGTAGATGGCGCTTTAGCCGAGTTTTAAGTAGATAGGGCTTTAGGCTATATTTTAACAATAGATGTCACTCTAGGCTAATTTTTAACACTAGATGTTGCTTTAGGCTAGTTTTTACAGCTGATGGCGCACTATGCAAGTTTTTTAATACGAGACAGTGCTCTAGGCTAGTTTTTAACAGTTGATAGCTCTCTAAGCTACTTTTTTACAGTTGATGGTGCTCTAAGCTAGTTTTTTAACAGCAGATGACTCCATGGCAAGCTTTTTAACAGCAGATGGCGGTCTTGGCTAGTTTTAACAGCAGATGACACTGGCTATTTTTTTATCAGCAAATGTGCTCTAGGCTAGTTTTCATGAGTGGATGGTGCTCTAAGCTAGTTTTTAACAGCAGATGGCACTATTGGCTAGTTTTTAACAGCAGATGGCGTTCTTGGCTAGTTTTTGACAGCAGATGGTGCTCTAGGCTAATTTTTAACAGTAGATGACACTATGGTTAGTTTTTTAGCAGCAGATGGCACTCTAGGCTAGTTTTTAAGAACAGATAGTGCTCTAGGCTTTTTTAACGGCAGATGACACTCTATAACTACTTTTTAACAGCAGATGGCGCTCTAGGCATGTTTTCAAGAGTGTATAGCACTCTAGGCTAGTTTTTAACAGCAGATGACACTATGGCTAAATTTTTTGTAAACAGCAGATGGCGCTCTTGGCTAGTTTTTAAGAGTGAGTGGTGCTATAGGCTAGTGTATAACAACAGATGACACTCTAGGCTTTTTTTTCTAACACTAGATGGCGCTCTAGGCTATTTTTTTAGCAGATGGCAGAATCAAATAAGAAGAGAATAATGATGCATTTGAAAAACTTAAGTTCTCAAAAAGATTTTTGTTTTACTCTCCTAAATCTTTTCAGTGGCAGGAAAAAGATTTAAGGAATAACGCAAAATAATTACTGTGTTTTTATTAGTTAGTTAGCCATGTTAGTTGCGCAACAATCAACTCAAGCTACTGTCAAACATGCATTTTTAAGTGATAAATCTTGAAGTATTGTATTATTAATACAGCATGTACAGTACTACCAAATCAAGCGTTGGTTTCCTGGAGCTCTGATATGACATCAATCTCAGTAGTGTAGTTTATTTCAAAATCACATAAAAGTTCCCTTATCACATAATGACAAAACCTGTTTAGCAATGTTTGCAGAGACAGGTGTGCAAAACATGGTAAATGACCCTTTCTGTTGGTAATTGTATGGTTTGCATTGCATGGCATTATTTATCCTCTACAGTTTGGTTGCTAGGAAACATCTTTGATGAAAATCAGATACCTGCAGAGATAAAACACATAGTAATATTCCACCATTGACTTGGAATTCAGCATAAATCTGATACATATTAATATCTTAAAATCTGACCTAAACAGATTGTCTTAACAGATTCTCCTCAATAGAAATAGATCAAGTATGGTCAAAGGTAACAAACTGTAACAAAACCAATATTTTTTTTCCCCTGCAGTCAAATTCCTCACTTCACCAGTTTGGTGACCTAAAGCTGTATGCGTCCGAGTGGATCGAGTCATCGTCCTATGTGCTGCAGTCTGCCAACATTTTGACACAAACCTTGCCGATACTTAAGGTATAAAACAACAAGTCAAGAGAAAATTGAATACACTTTTTTATTTATTTAATTGATTGGTTGATCAAGCTATTTATTTTGTTCCAGCTCCTGCATTAACTGCATACACTATTCAATATCTTTCAACAGAATTCCCTGAACAGTCCTTTTGTCCAAAACTTCATTCGGACTCAGACTGGAATTGACGTTTCAGGAATGAGTGCAACTCTCAACCAATTCTGTAAGTAACCGAGTATTATATTTAATGCTTAAAATAATGGGAATGAATTTGTATTTTTCCAAGGCAGTTTGTCTTTATTTTGAGATGTTAAGGCATTATAATGAGTTCATCACTATGTTATAATACTGTTTTATTTAAATGGTGTAAAGTAACATATTTCTCGTTATTATTACTTAAAGAATCATATAGTTGGAAACCACATGATCTAATTGGTGGAAACCGTAATGCTGTAGTTGCATTTATAGGGATCAAGTGGTTCCAAACCTTTTTGAGTTTCTTTATTCTATTGAATACAAAAAAAAAAAAAAAAGATATTTGAAGAAAGCTGGAAACTGGTAACCATTGACTTCCACAGTAGGAAAAAAGATACTATGGATGTCACTGGTTTCCATCTGTTTTCAAAATCTTTTCTTTTATATATTTAACAGAAGGTCAAACAGGTTTGGAACAAGTGAAGGTGAGAAATTAATGAGAGAACCTAAACTATCCCTTTAACCCTTATGTACTGCCGGGGAAGTTTTCATCCACTCTGGGGTGATTTTGAGTCTTAATTTGGCTATAAATTTTTCTGTGTTTCAGCTAGCGGAATGATTTTTTATAACAAATCTTATTTTGACACATATTTTGAGAAAATGCTTTGATAAAAAAAAAAAAAAAAAAAAAAAAAAACTCAACGATACACTCTTGACAAATTGACTACCCTTTTGTTATGTTCGGGATAAAAAAAAACATCCACTAAATTAAACTGCTGTAAAATGCATCATATTGTTATTATATATTTTTTTGCATAAATCTACTAAATTGCTTAGAAAATTAGTGGATTTGAACACTTTAAATGCCAAATTTATAAATGATGTCACTGATTTGGTGAAAAAACACACACAAAATGATGCATTTTAAATATACAAAGTAATTGTGTACTGGATTCTTTTGACCTATTATCAAAGTCTTGGAGATGGAAAACAACCATGAATTGAGATTGAAATTGAAAAACCATGACACCATATAAACATGCATTGGTGTTTTTCCCTGTTGGGAAGAGGTAAAATTAGTCTGTTTTACAGATGATCATCAGTCGGCACCAATAACACTTTAGATAGGCCTGTGCAAAAAAAAGCTTAGTTTCTAGATTTTGTATGGGGTATAAAAACAAATTAAAGTGTGTATATGTGTGTCTAAGTGTGTGAGTGACCATTATGCACTTACCTTGATGTGTCTGAAAAAATCAATCCTACTAAAAATCAAAACTACTAAATTGCTCAGAAAATTACTGTATTTTAATTCTTTAAATGCCAAATTTATAAATTATGTCATTGATTTGGTGAAAAAAAACACACAAAAATGACATTTCCAATATAAAAAGTAATTGTGGACTAGATTTTTTTAAAAGTCTTGGACGTGTGAAACAACATTGGCTTTGATGCATTTTTTTTTTACTTTTTAAAATTTTTTCTCTCTAATTTACTGTTGGTGGCTGTTTTTGCCCCATTGACTTCCATTAACCACATTTTTTGATTATAAAGCCATGACAACATCTAATCATGCATTTTTAATTGTTGGTGGTTTTCCCTTTAGGGAAGAGGTAAAAAAAAAGTTTAAAAAAGTCATTTTTCATATGGCACCATTAACCCTTTAGATAGGCCTAGTTTCTGGATTTTATAGGGAGTATAACAGCAACTTAAAGTGTGTGTATGTGTGTCTGAGTGTGAGAGTGACCTTTGCACACTTACCTTGATGGGTCTGAGAATATCAAAATAAGCATCTCAGCTCTCAGAACTACATGGAGTAAACAAAAACAAAGCCTGTGTATTTTTGCACCATCAAATGTGGTTATAATGGAAATCAATGGGGAAATACAGCCATCAACAGTAAATTAGAGAGAGAGAAAAAAAACCTAACAATGCATCAAAGCCAACTAATCGATCAAATGTCCAAGCCTGCGATAAAAAGGAAAAAATGCAGTCTACAACTACTTTTTACATTGAAAATATGTCATTTTGTGTGTTATTTTTTCACCAAATCAGTGACATTACTTATGAATCTAGCTAATAAAGAGTTAAAATCCTGTTTTTTTTTTTCTTTTTAATATAGTAGTTTTGATCAGGGCTGAGGTTGATTAACAGATTTATGCAAAGAAATCTGAAAAAAAGATGCATTTTCTAAGCAGTTTAATTCAATGGATGTTTTCATCTCAAACATAACAAAAGGGAAGTCAATTTGAACAGTGCACAAAGGTTAAAATGCTTTCTTTGTATGTAAATGAGCTTTTATAGATTGAACTTGATGCAGACATTAATACATAATATTTATACATTTATTATGTGGTTTTATATATCATACACTTTTTTTCTATCAGTTTCTTATTTGTAATCGCAAAAACCATGTGATTTGGCTATAAACCATTAGCAGCTTTAAGAACAAACAAACATTAATGACTCACATGGCAATTAAATCACACACCGCCATCTGCAAATCACAAAATCATGCCTCCCTGAGAAATGATCACTTTCCAAATAGGGCATAAGTCTATGAGATCCAAATGTACCTAGCCTCCTCAGGGAAAACCAGCGCAGTTGAGCAGGGTTTTACTGCCGAGCTCTTGACAACTCACGACAACAGCAGGAGAAGTATTGCTCTGTGCACCCAAGCTTGCCTTATCCAGAAATCTGCAGCAGTTATTCTATCTCTTTTCACAGCGAACATGACAGTCCTGTTAGAGAAAAACAAGTTTATCATGGACCAGATCACCACCCTCTCTGTGCTCATGATGAACCTCTCCTCCTGTGTCAACTTCGACCGATACCGAGGCTTCAACTCTACTGATGAACTCGACAAGCAAGCCGAAAAACTGGCTCAAAACCGTGAGCTGTATGCCAGTGAGTTTACACACGCACACACAACCTCTTTCTCTCTTTTTCACACACGCACAAACACATACACAAACTCTTTCTCTCTTTTTCACACACGCACAAACACCTAAACAAACTCTTTCTCTCTTTTTCACAGTCACACACACACACACAGGTTTGCTATCCCCATAGATGTAATGGTTTTTATATTGTGCAGACTATATATTCTACCTCGATCCTACCCCTGAACCCAAGCCTTACACAAAACATTCTACAGTTTTACATTTTTAAAATGCTTCATTCTGGATGATTTAGAGTTCATCTGTAAAGTATTCATAGCACTTCAGTTTTCCCATTTTTTTTTTATTTTACAGCCTTATTCCAAAACGCATTAAATTGATTTATTTCCTCAAAATTCTACACACAACACCCCATAATGACAATGTGAAAAAAAAGTTTTTGAAATTGTTGCAAACTTATTAAAAATAAAAAACCTGAAAAGTCACATGTACAGAAGTATTCACAGCCTTTGCTCAATACTTTGTCGATGCACCTTTGGCAGCAATTACAGCCTCAAGTATTTTTGAATATGACACCACAAGCTTGGCAAACCTGTCTTTGGGAATTTTGCCCATTCCTCTTTGCAGTACCTCTCAAGCCCTATCTGGTTGGATGGGAAGAGACAGTATATGGCCATTTTCAGATCTCTCCAGAGATGTTCAATAGGATTTAGTTCAGGGCTCTGGCTGGGCCACTTGAGGACAGTCACAGAGTTGTTGTGAAGCCACTCCATTGATATTTTGGTGGTGTGCTTTGGGTCATTGTCCTGCTGGAAGATGAGCGTCGCCCCAGTCTGAGATCAAGAGCACTCTGAATTAGACTTCCATTCAGGATGTCTCTGTACATTGCTGCATTCATCTTTCCCTCTATCCTGACTAGTCTTCCAGTTCCTGCTGCTGAAAAACATCCCCAGAGTATGATGCTGCCACCACAATGCTTCACAGTAGGGATGGTATTGACCTGGGGATGAACGGTGCCTGGTTTTCTCCAAATGTAACGCCTGGCATTCACTCCAAAGAGTCATCAGACCAGAGAATTTTGTTTCTTATAGTCTGAGAGTCCTTCAGATGACTTTTGGCAAATCACAGGTGGGGAGTGGATTCTTTCTGGCCACTCTACCATACAGGCCTGATTTTTGGAATACTGCACAGATGTTTGTCCTCCTGTAAGGTTCTCCTCTCTCAACAGAAGAACAGTGGAGCTCAGACAAAGTGACCATCGAGTTATTGATCACCTCCCTGATTAAGGCCTTTTTCCCCGATCATTCAGCTTAGATGGCGGGCCAGCTCTAGGAAAAGTCCTGGTGGTTTCAAACATCTTTCACTTTCAGGATGATGGAGGCCACAGAACGTTCAGAGTAGCAGACATTTTTCTGTAACCTTCCCCAGCCTTGAGCCTGGAGACAATCCTGTCTCGGAGGTCTACAGACAATTCCTTTGTCTTCATGCTTGGTTTGTGCCTTGACATGCACTGTCAACCCTGTAGACAGGTGTATGCCTTTACAAATCATGTCCAATTAACTGAATTTACAACAGGTGAATTAAGCTGCTGAAACATCTCAAGAATGATTAGTGAAAACAGAATGTACCTGAGCTTCATTTAGAGCTTCATGACAAAGGCTTTGAATACTTCTGTACTTGTGATTTTTTTTTAGGTTTTTTATTTTTCATAAATATGCAACCATTTCAAAAGCTCTTTTTCAAATTGTCATTTTGGGGTATTGTGTGAAGAAATTTGAGGAAATAAATGAATTTAGTCCGTTTTGGAATAAAGCTGCAACAAAAAAAATGTGGAAAAAGTGAAGCGCTATGAATAATTTTCGGATGCACGTTTATCCATGAGACCTCAATTTAGGTCACGGTGAAACAAGTCTCTGTGAGTCTGTGTGTATTCAGGTTTAAGTCCACGCCAGTGGGAAAAACAAGAACACACACTCATTTCAATTTATATGAATTTCTATAGCGCTTTTAGTAAAATGTACTAGGGTTGTCACTATACTGGAATTCGGTACCAATAAATTCTGAAATTTTAAAAACGCCCATTTCCTACTAACATTTAAGCGCTGTTTAGCATGTTCTTAAGCGTTTGTGTTCATGCGCTCAACACTAATGACTGTGATTGGCCGTGAAGGTCATCCATTCACCAAACTCACCACTGTTTACTAAGTGTAACCACAGATACAAGGACACTGGAGCATTTTAAAGCTGCAATTAATCAGCGGATAACCTGTTTGTCAACTTATAGACAAACCAGCTGATTGATGTGACTTTAAAATTCTCCAGTGTATCTGTGGTTACACAGTAAAAATTGGTAAGTTCAGTGTACTGATGACCTTCACGGCCAATCACAGTCATTTCTGTTGAGCACGTCAACACAATAGCAAATCAGCATTGTTTAAGAAGGTGCTCAACAGTATCGATTGGTACCAAATTCCAGTGTCATGACAACCCTACACAACACACATATTGTATGGCCTTACCCTACCCTTACCCCTAAGCCCAACCCTCACAGAAAACCTGTGGTAAATTTTGAATATAAAAAACTTGTATGATTTTAAATTACGAGAACACTTAAACTACCTCAAAATTGTAATTTCTAGGTCATACACATGTCATTATACAATTTGTTTCCTCACAAATCACATAAACAAGCACACACACACAAACACACACACTCTATTCATCTCAGGCATTTGGTGATGCTCTCGATTGCAGACCCCAAAGGCACTAAAGAGTCATTGGTCTGTAAATCCTGTAACTCAATGCAATTCCATTGAGTTCCATTGAAATATAGATTTCAGTTGTTCTTGTGGAGTGGCAGGCCTTTGAGGTTAAAACAGTTCACTCGCATGCTGATCTTTAACAGGGTTTTAAATGTTCTCTGAGGTCCTCTTGTAATGTTGTAATGTAACATTTTGAACAATATACTTTAGAAGTAGTATGCTTTTTTCTGGTACTGTTTTAATTCCCCTCATCAGGAAACACTGTTTGAATTTGGATTGTAGATTTAGAAGTTAACCAATGGTATGATTGACTAGTACTTTTTATATTTTGAAAAGACAGTGTGTGTTCACTAATGTAAACTTCTATATATGTTTATTTGAAAGTCATCATTATAGCCCTCTTATATGGACATTGCTGTTATTTAAGTTAAAAGCTCATGAATATCAGTACATACAGTATAAAGTAGGCATGAGATGATATTCGGTTCAAGGTATACAGCAGTTTTGGAAAAGTCATGGTTTTAAAACCGCAAAGATTTTCTATTATAGTGTTCCTAAGGTATATGAAAGTTTTTTTTTTTTGTTTTTGTTTTTTTTTGTTTTAGGGCAACAGTATCTCCACGATTGTGCATCTAAAAAAACATCTAAAAAAAAAAAAATAACTTATATAGTTCAATGAAGAAAAAAGGAACTTTTTTACCCAGACATTTAGAAAGAACATATTTTACAGCAGTGATCAGAATGCTGCGAAACCGTGATATTTTTATCCAAGGTTATCACCCATGCCTAATATCACATGATCTTAAAAACAGTTACTCACACTTGTGTGGAGCGACATTACGGTTGAATCCAATAAAATCAGCAATAAAAAACATCTTTTAGTTTCAATCTGCATCCTGTGCCTTGTTTGTTAATCTGCTGCATTTTTACAGCAGTTTAATTCAATGGATGTTTTCATCTCAAACATAACAAAAGGGAAGTCAATTTGAACAGTGCACAAGGGTTAAAATGCTTTCTTTGTATATAAATGAGCTTTTATAGATTGAACTTGATGCAGACATTAATACATAATATTTATACATTTATTATGTGGTTTTGTATTTCATACACTTTTGTTCTATCAGTTTCTTATTTGTAATCGCAAAAACCCTGCGATTTGGCTATAAACCATTAGCAGCTTTAAGAACAAACAAACATTAATGACTCACATGGCAATTAAATCACACACCGCCATCTGCAAATCACGAAATCATGCCTCCCTGAGAAATGATCCAAATAGGGCATAAGTCTATGAGATTCAAATGTACCTAGCCTCCTCAGGGAAAACAAGGTTATCATACCTTCAGAATTTTGTACCAGCCCATGCATAATAACATGTGATCTTAAAACAGTTACTTACACATGTGTGGAGCGACATTACTGTTGGATCCAATAAAATCTGCACTAAAAAACATCTTTTAGTTTCAATCTGCGCCTTGTGCCTGGTTTACACTGTAAATTAAAACATGGTAAAATGATGTGAACAAGGGAACAAATGCTTATTGATGTGTTTTGGAACTTGTCTAGTCTTCAGAGCATCTACTGTATATTGTGCCTATGTGTTTTTTAATCTCTCGTTGTTTAGTTACAATGTAAATGGGTGGGTGTAGCTAAACAAGCAGTGATATAGAAGCATATGTTTATCATACTCTGCAGAGGTGGAGTTTAGCCACATTATGTAATAAAGTGATGCATTCCAAAACGGGTCATTTTGTCAGGTTGTCTTCAATAGACCTTTGTCTTAGCAGCTGCATGGAGGGCGCCATATCGACCAGCGTCATCGGTAGAATGCTTAGAACTTCTTTTTACAGCGTTCACAATAGTAATTTGTGCTCCGAAAATGGGTTTCAATATCGTTATGAGTAGATTATGGAGTGTTTTTGTGACACACAACTTTGAAAAGTGTGTGTTAAAGCTGTTATAATCTGTCAGATGTGGTGCGAGGAAAAAGCACAAGAGAAAAACGTTCTCCTAGTTTACATGTCTGCCGTCAGAAATATAGTGTGTGTGTGTCACCGGCCTGTCAGCCGTTAGCTCAGCGGCTCTTCAATACTCACGCACACACACACACGCAATACTTCACTGCATCATAGAGCAAACCATATAACTGGCATGAAATTTAACAGGTATGTAAGTTCTGCAATTTACAAAAATGACCAATAAAAGTCTGTTATTAATACTCTGCTGGCTGATTTGCATGTTGATACTAATCGCGAGCCGTTTATGTTTCATTTAGTGTGTTGTATTCAGCAGGGTTTGTGTTTTTCTGTCATTTCAAAATGTCACTTTATTTTCCCCTTTGTCACAGTTATTAAATCAGTGTGTTAGTGCGACAGTACAGTAGGCTATGTGTGTGTGTATCAAACATTTCGGTGAATTACAGGTGTTTGGGCTGGTTATATGTTTGAAAGCAAGAGAAAATGTTGACTTTAGCAATGACGAGGCTTCATTTAAATGGCAGAAGGTGCCGCCTGACAATGAGGGGAAAATGCCTCACAGCAGTTTTCATCCTATTAGATCACATTAAATATTCAGTCCAGGAGGTGGTGCTGATCGACAACTATATTAGTTCAAAGGTGATAAAAGCAGGTTGAATAGATGTAATGTGTATTTATATAGTAATGTAATGTGTATTTACATAGCGCATTTATTGTGTATGGCAATACACCCAAAGCGCTTCACAATCATGAGGGGGGTCTCACCACACCACCACCAGTGTGCAGCATCCACTTGGATGATGCGACGGCTGCCACAGGACAACGGCGCCAGTGCGCTCACCACACACCAGCTATTAGTGGAGAGGAGGGACAGTGATAGAGCCAATTCGGTGGAGAGGGGATGATTAGGAGGCCATGATCGTAAGGGCCGATAGAGGGACTTTGGCCAGGACACCGGGGTTACACCCCTGCTCTTTCACGAGAAGTGCCTTGCGATTTTTAATGACCACAGAGAGTCAGGACCTCGGTTTAACGTCTCATCCGAAAGACGGCGCCCACTGACAGTTTAGTGTCCCCTTCACTTTTACTGGGGCATTAGGACTCACATAGACCACAGGTTGAGCGCCCCCTGCTGGCCTCACTAACACCACTTCCAACAGCAACCTAGTGTTCCCTAGTGGTCTCCCATCCAGGTACTGACCAGGCTCAGCCCTGCTTAGCTTCAGTGAGTAACCGGTCTTGGGCTGCAGGGTGACATGGCTGTGGCTATTTCTATTATGTGGCTATTATGAAAACCATCTTTTTAAAGCTGTCCAAATGTGACTGTTTATACGCATCAGCTATCGACCGAAAGTTCTTAGCAATCTCCTTGCGCATACACCAAAGCATAATGGGTCATTTTGCATTCTAAGAAAAAGGTCTGTAACAGCTGTTTTTAGAGTTACACAATTTTTTTTTCAGTTCTGAAACCTCCAGGATGTTTTTTAAAGTGCAATGACAACTTACATATCAAAAAATCAAGCAAATTTGTATTTCTCATTTCATGACCCTTTTAAATGACACGAGTTCTGCTTATCTTCACAGGCATTATTTTCAAACTTCCCAAGGAGAACTCCAGCAGCCTGCCACCAAACATCGACTACACCATACGCATGAACATCGAGAATGTCATGCGCACAGACCGTGCACGCAATCCCTTCTGGGTGAAAGATGCCTACATATCGGCAACCAGAACCCAGCGGTACAGCCGAGGCTTTGTGTACCTGCAGGAAAGCATCGAGAGGGCCATCATCGAAATGCAGACGGGTAATGCCATGGATGGGCCCGCGGTCCAGATGCAGGCATTCCCTTATCCCTGCTACTATAAGGACGAGTGAGTGTCTCATAAGCTCAAACCGCACACACACACACACACACACACACTGAGCATCTTATGTAAGGTCTGAAATAGTATGGCATCTGAACAAATAATCAACAGATGGTTTATTAGAAATAACTCCAGTAGGATGAATGTCTTTTTGTTTTTCATCAAAATACTAGATTTGTATTTGAGGAATGAAACAGCAGTTGTGAAGAAGCAAAACAATTGCGTAGGAATTAGCCGAGCTTAGGGTTGGCTTTGGTTTGTGTAGATGAAAGGCTGAATCCGAGCTGTTGTCATGGTACTGTATTCTCATGCTGGCTATAAATGAGAGTCAACATAAATAATATCACAGCGACACTGTATATGGTTTTTGGCTTTAAATTAGTCGATACCGGTTTATTTGATGCCAGGGTTGTTACTTTATTTAAAACAAGCTATTACAATTTGAAAAACAACTCATTTGAATACAGCTGAAGACAAATAAAGAAAAGAGAAATCTTGTCTTGTAAACGAAGTAAAGATAAAATAATAATATAATAGGGTCAGGGGTAAAATAGTAAAATAACTAAATAAAACTATAATAAAAAAATAACTAAATAGAATAGAACTAAAAAATGTACTAATAAAAAGATATACATGAACATAAAATTAAATAAACAAAGCACACCACAAGGAAACAAATAAATAAAATAAAATCAACAAAACACAACACAAGAAAACAAATAAATAATACAAAAATAAACACAAAACAACAATTAATTAAAATAAAATAATAAAATAAAAAATAAACAAATAACTAAAATAAAATAAACACAACACAACAAATCAAATAACAAAAATAAAATAAAAAATAAAATAATATTTAATTTAATTTAATTTAATTTAATTTAATTTAATTTAATTTACACAACACAACAAATAATTAAATTAAAATAAAATAATAAAATAAAATGAATAAAAATGTAAAAAATAAATGGAATAAAATATACAAAATAAACACAACACAACAAAACAAATGACTATAATAAAAAAATAATAAAATAAAATAAACACAACACAACACAACAAAAAAAAACAAATAACAAAAATAAAATAATAAAATAAAATAATAAACAAAACTAACAAAATAAATTTTATTTAATAAACACAAAACAACACAACAAATAATTAAAAAATAATAATTAATAATTAAAAAATAAATAAATATTAAATAGAAAATAAATAAACACAACACAACAATTAATTAAAATAAAATAAATACAATTAAATAATAAATAAAATAAAATAAACAAAATAACATAAACAAAACACAACAAAACAAATAACTAAAATAAAAAATAAAATAATAATAAACTAAAATAATAATAATAAAATAATAATTAACTAATCAAAATAAACACAACACAACACAACAAAACAAATAACTAAAATAAAATAAAATCAAATTAAATTGAAAAAAAAAAATAAATAAATAAATAAAGCATTCACAAAAACGAAAAAATGAAAACAAACCTGTTAACCATATACTAAAAGCAGAAAAGTTTTTCCTTTGCATCTTTGAGAAAGTTTCAGTGGCTGTACACAGATCCATGATATTGACTACAAATGCTGTTTTATACATGCCAGACCAGTTGGCCTTGGTAAAGTACACATCAACGCATGTATGGTTCGATAGTCTGGCATTGTTGTTGTTTTTTGATTTTAAAGAGCTCATGTGTCGCCTATAGAATAAACATGCAGGAACATTTTGTTTTCACAAGCTCTTACACAGAGACCATATTAGTAATGTTTTCAAAGATTTCAAACACACATTCATTCATTCAAAATTCTGCATTTTCAGGCACCCAAAATGTCGTTGTCATATTAAATAAAACCCCAAAATTTTAAAAGTTTTCCATTTAAAAAAAAAAAATTACCACAAACAGTTATACATTGTATTGATAACTTGGGTTTAGAAGAGGTTTAGCCACACCAATAGTTAAATGCCACTGGTCAGTCTTTTTATTGTAAATTATAAGAACACAAATTATGATATTTTAGATGCAATCCTGGAGCTTTCTGACCCCTTATAGACAGCAAGGATCACAGAAAAGGAGCCAAAAACATTGCCAAAGTACTCCAAGTGACTTCAGTGGTTCAACTATAACCATGCAAAGCTCCAAAAACACCTTTGGGTGCTGAAATAACTGTAAAGATGGCTTTGCTTGCTTTTCATGTCAACTCATGTGAAGAGTTCAGATGCAAAAACCTTCAAGTGGCAGTGCCATCTGAAATTTTCTTCTAAATGTTGCATTTTCTCAGGCTCCCCTGTCTTGATTTAGTAATTTAATATTTATGGCAAAGAATAGGTTATTTTTTAATGCTTTTAACATGAAATAACTGAACATAAACATAAGAGGCTTTGTACAATTGTACAATTTCATGAACATTCCAGATGGCACTTATTCAGAGGTTTTTGCATCTGAACTCTTCATATTTACTATGTGCAATTTGTAGCATGCAAACTTGTAAAACTTAAACTGGTTAAGTATGATAAACATGCCCTCCACCTAATAACACTCTTTCCTTCTAGATATCTCAACAGCATCGCGTTTGCCTTCCCAATGGCGCTCATGATTTCCTGGGTGCTGTTTATTGCACACTTTGTCAAGAAACTAGTGCACGAGAGAGAGCTGCGTCTTCACGAGGTATGGAGCCAAACCAATTTCTCCACAATCTCTTCTCATAAACTTTCATTAAATGTCTCCCTTATCTTGCAGTACATGAAAATGATGGGGGTCAATCCCATCAGCCACTTCTTTGCCTGGTTAATTGAGAGCGGTGCGTTCCTGTTGGTGACCGTCATCATCCTCACCATCATTCTGAAGGCTGGCGGGATCCTTCCTCGCAGCGATGGATTTGTGCTCTTCCTCTACCTCTGCGACTACGGCTTCAGCGTCCTCGCGGTCAGCTTCCTGGTCAGCTCCTTCTTCGATAAGACCAACATCGCCGGGCTGAGTGGCAGCCTTATCTATGTCATCTCTTTCTTCCCCTTCATTGTGCTGATCCACTTGGAGGACAACCTCTCCTTCTCTGTGAAGAGCGCTCTGGTGTGTATCATGTTTTAATTGGTTTTTGCAGTTTAACATTGTTGTACAGTCACATTTTGAAGATTTGCATAAACACTTGAGATTCATTAATGATAATTATTCTATCAGGCAGTTGAATGCTTAATTCTGATTGGCTGGTGAACATTATAAGGTGTGCAGTTATTTTCAGAGGAATGCTTGAAAAAGGTATATCAAAGCAGCTTTTGAGCACCTTATAGTTCCATATCCCCGTGGAACTTAAAAAGTTTTAAATTTATCTTACATTTCAAAAACACATTTTTAGGCCTGAAAATGTTAAGAGTTTTGAAACCCCCATCTTTCAGTTCAAGTCTACCTCAGAATTTGTTCAAAAAATGCTACATGATGGGCATGGAGCGCTTCAAGCAGAAGGTAGGAGTGCGCGTGGCCGGCAGAGCAGGGGAAAAGGGGGGGGCGAACAACTGTCAGTTGGCTCACCAGCTCAAGACAAAAAAAATAATAAAAATCTGACACAAAACGTAAGGAAATGCATGATTTTATAGTTTACAAAATTAAAATGCAAAGAAATAAACAGTAATTAATTTAATGCCCTGCTACATGTATCATAGACTATTTGTAGTTTTATATAATATATAACCACAATTAGTTATATCATTGTAAAGATAATCATGTTTATATAAACACTATAAATAAGGAGGAGTTCTCTCCTGCTGAATCCCCGGGTTTAGAGGATTTAAAACATGTGTGTGTCAGGATTGGTGAGAGGAAAAAGAAGTGAGGACCCAATTGCAGAGTGAATGAATATTTATTCTTAATAAAATAAAATAAATGGCAAAATAAACAACCCAGAGGGGGAAAAACACCAATAAAACAAATAAACAATCAAACCAAACTAGGATGGCTGGCGGAGATCAGGACTGGAACAATGTAACAGACAACAAGACAAGGTTACATACGGTGACGAACTGGCACAGAACAGCAGACATGAGGGGATTATAAAATGTAATAAATTAACACACAAACAGATGAACATAATTAACTAATAATGGGTTAACAAGGAGGGTGGGACTAGACAATAGACGGGAGAGCACATGACACAGAGAGACAACACAAGCCATGCGCTCACATTAGGCAAGACTAGAACACGCAGCTAATGAGAGAACTCACTAACTACGCATTCACAATAAAACAGGACAAGAACATGCAGCCAATGAGAGAACTCATTAACCGCATGTTCATGACAACACAAGAACAACACTGAAGCACACAACAAAAGCACGTGACCACAATGTAAACACAGAGCCACGTGCTTTGACAACAGACACAAGACACGAGCACGCGATAGATACACCTTACCGTGTGCTCACACATATGCAACGCGCATGCTTCATTTCAGCGTCGACCAAAACCGAAAGCAACTAGACGAAGACGCTGAGAATGAAGCAGCGCGTTGCCGACAAAACAAAAACACAAACACGAGTACAAGAGCACGCGCGTCGGAGGCACGCAGAGCCCGCACGGTCGCATCAAGCGGGAGCGCGCACGCTCTGTGCACGCCTACGAAGGCGCGCCCACACAGAGACACACACAATGATAGAAACAAGTGCTTGACCCAAGAAAACTCGAGCCGAGCACGACAGGACTAGACAGGACTAGTGTCTGGACTCTACCAAAACAAGAATTTACATGACCAGAGTGGCAGAACCCTGACAGTGTGAACACAGCAGCATGGTGATTTGTCTAAATAGTAATGAAATCAACTGATAAAAGTCTGCCATTCTCTAATACCCGTACAGCTCTCCTAACAAAAATGCTTTCTGCATGCAAACAGCTTGACTGTATCGCAGGGAAAGACATAGAACAAACCCTGTGGATCATGAAATCACGTACAAGTCTTCACAACCACCTAAATATGCAGTCATGAATAATTAAGAAGCAGGATCTTCTCATAGGATAAGACAACTCAGTCTGTGAGTAATAATGAGAAACCGATGCGTCATCTCTGGACAGGCAGATAGCGTTCTGTCACCGATTTTGATCCCTCCCCAATAATGATTTTAAACCCGGAGGATGAAATTAGCTGACTAAAGCTCACAATTATCCAATTTTTCCCACAATTAAAGTTGACAGGTGCTAACGTTGTCTTAAATTATGATCAACACATATTAATCTGCTAATATCTGAAAAAAAATACTCCAAAAAATTTTGTATCCTAAATTATTTTAAACAGGTTTAAATTTTCCTATTTCCACACTTTTGGTTGCCAGTAATACGGTCAAATTTACAAGCATACTGTAAATTAACAATTACAATTGTGCTGTAAAACTACAGCACAATTGTAATTGTTAATTTACAGCACACGTAAATTTACAGCATTATTACACTCAAATTCCCTAATCAGGGAAAGAAACTAAAATCAATTACACAATTCTTCATGATAATAACAGAGCAATATATCCCTTATCTTCAATTTATACAAAAACTATGTACAGAATAGTGGATATAATATTTATAAATAGGCATGAAACTAAAGGTTTTTTAACATAAAGACATTGGGTTGAAGTTTTATACACAATCGGTTTGGACCAAAAGTCAACAAATATTTCTTTTTGATTATTCACGCAGAGTGTACTTTTCTCCTAAACTTGTCAGTTAAAAAAAAGAAGTAATGCTATATTGAAAAAGGTGTATGTATACAACTAGCCCAATACATTGGCCCAACCAGACCATTAAAAAAAAGTCTAAAATTTAATTTATAATGGTCTTAAATAGTCTAAAATTTGACTTGATGAAACCTGCAGAAAGCCTATCACTACACTGATATCATTTAGTGTATATTTACAACAGTCAAAAATTAAGTCAATTTAAAACAAACTAAACGCTTTCATTGAGCTGTGTGTGTATTATACACAGAGGAAATGTTTGAGGACAAAAACTGACAAAACTCTTGAAATGCAGCATCTGAACAACTCAACAAAGCGTTGTGACCACACATCCACCTCAGGTTTGCATTATTTACTTATAATACAACAGCCAAATGATAATTATTTCTTATGTAATGAAGCTTTTTCTTAAAATATCATTTAGATTTCCATTAAAATGTCTTATTTTGTTCCATTCTGTCCTGTTGAATCCACTCCTCATTTTAGGTATTGAGATATTATTTTGTAAGTTAATTAGGTAATATGCACTACTAATAGAATTACAATAATGTTGTGTCAGTTAATGCATTTATTAACATGAACAAACAAGGAACAATACATTTATTACAGTATTGATCATGTTAGTTAACATTAGATAATAGAAATAATGTTGTTAATTATTGGCTCATGTTAACAGGCATGGAATTGGATGTTATTAATGCCTTAGTAAATGTTGAACTATGATAAATAAACGCTGTACAAGTATTGTTCATAATTTGTTAATGTTAGTAAATACATTAACCAATGAAACCTTATTGTAAAGTTTGACCTAGATGCTTCTCTGTTAGAGTTGCACATTTAACAGTAGTTTAACTGAGAGTAACCGGTATGTGGAGTTTGGATCCAAACGTAAATTTGTTTCATTTGTAAAAACAGACATTTTGCCTTTTAAATATATAGAGATATATTCTTAAGTACGTTTATTAGCCTGCTTTCCTAAGTGTTTGTAATTTCAGGTTTTACTGTTATTGTTCTAAATATTATTTTACACACCACATGTTCTCTCCCGCACACAAATATCCCAAAGAAAGTATTTCTCAGTAAATGGAGGAAGAAATGCTTTATGGATAATTTATTTATAAATCAAAGGCGAATGGGACATTTAACAAAAGACATTTGCGTTCTTTGTGCAGCGAAATTTAATTAGCATTGCAGCTCCAGAAGTGAAATATCGCCCACAAATGTGAAACCGCAGCATTCACACAAATGTTAATGTGAGCACCAGCTGAGGACTAATGCACAGGCTGTGGCGGCGACAAAAATGTCTTTGCATGTAGTATTATATTCATGAAGAATAGGGTTATTAAGTTATTTTGTTAAATTATTAAGGCTTGCATTTCTGTGTTTGTAATTTCTACAGTAGATGTATTGATCTGTTCTTGTGTTAGTTAGGTGAGTTAAAAGTGCACGCAGTTGTTTACCTTACTTCAGTATAGTGTCTATAATAATTTGGTCATATATCCCACACCAAAACAATGGCTTTTGCTGCTTGTTCAAACTACTTATTTAAAATAAGTTAAAACAACACAATTCTTACGTTTTTTTTTCGTTTTTTTTTTGCGTTGTTTTATCCACTTCAATTTGTAAAAACTATGAAGTTAACTTTATCGATTTGTGTTGAAACAACATGAAAAAGAAGCTTTTTTTACAATGATTGTAGCTTAATCCACACAAACGACTTTATTATATTGAGTGCATTTTCATATTAAATGAGAGATTACTTACAATAAAAAGATTATTTTTTGACTTTTTTTCTACGAAGCGGAAGTGTGCTCTTTATTGCGATTGTTTTAGAACTTCCAAATCTTCTGGAAATGCAAATTCATTTCAAGATTCTGGAACTTTGTTGCATATGAAATTAGCACAATTTTTAAGATCAATTTAAAAAAGATCCCGGTCTTTTTCTTTTGGGACTACCTTCTAAACCACAAGCAACATCATTGACCCTTGACACATAAAGGTTATAAATTGTCAAATAAACTGCTACTTGTGGCAAGGAAATGCATCTTTATTAGATGATTTTGCCCCATGAGATGCTTGCAGCTGTGCTTAATGACAACATACAGAGTTTTCAAAATAAATGGTCTCCTTAGATCACCTGCCCTCTCATGTGAGAGAAATTTGTGTGTCAGTTTTTTGTAAAGGAGGGTTGTCGGAGGCTCAGGGAATGATCTTTTGTGTGTTTGTTTGTTACTTTTGTTGTTGTTTTTTATTTTATTTTATTCTGTTCTAATGTTCTTTTTTTCAAATTTCTCTTACCTCCATCTATTTGTTGGCTTATTTTTAAGGATTACTATAATTTCTACAACCCATTACATATTTTTTATAAACTTGCCTTTGACTATGTCTGTAAAAGCACATTGTACAATTATTTTGATAACCTTTAATAAACATGTTACAAAAAAAAGAACTTTCAATTCAGTTTCATATGGGAGAAATGACCAGAATTAATAAACACTGGGAAACTAGTCAAACTAAATACAAAATACAAGCTGACCGATAAGATCATTTTTTCCATGCATCTCTTCCAAGTCAAAACAGACCTGATTGCATTATGAGGGTGAAACATTTGAATTAATTGACATCTGTAATATAAATCTGTCTGACTGTATTTGTTTCTGCTCCACAGAGTCTCTTTTCTCCGACATGCTTCAGTTATGCCAGCCAGTACATCGCCCGCTATGAAAAGCAGGAAGAAGGTATGCAGACACAAACCCTCAGACCGTCTTTAATTGGTGTTTGTTTGGAATAATTAGATTGAGTGAGTTTGTTGTGTGTACCTACACCTCAGGCATCCAGTGGAGCAACATGTACATCTCTCCTCTGGCTGGCGACACCTCCTCCTTCGGCTGGCTCTGCTGGCTGCTCTTAATTGACTCGCTTGTATATTTCATCATTGGGATTTACATCCGCATGGTCTTTCCAGGTACTGTATGTGGAAGGGATTTAACTCAGGGGATCCATGGGTCATGGAATTTCTAAAATATCATGGAATTTTAAAAGGTCTATTCCAGACGTTAAAAGTCATGGGGAATTTTTATATTTTTTTGATCCAATTTTTTTGTTTGTCAATTAATACTTTAGTTTACATTTATCAAAAAGTATTTTTTTCTGTGCCATATTTTTATTGCATTGTTTCATGCCTGTTGTTATGGTTAGGTTATTTTTTCAGCTCCATAACCAACATTTACTTAAAGGCATAGTTCATCCAAAAATTACAATTTACTCAGTATTTACTCTGTCTCGAGTGGTTCCAAATTGTTTATTCTATTAAACACAAAAGAAAATATTTTGAAAAAAGTTGAAAACCTGTAACCATTGACATCCATATTAGGAAAAAAATACTATGGAAATCAATGGTTACAGCTTACTTAAAAATATCGTCTTTTGTGTTCATCAAAATAAAGAAACTCTGTCAAAATGATGACATAATTTATCCTCTAGCGCCGGGGTGTCCAAACTCGGTCCTGGAGGGCCGGTGTCCTGCATAGTTTAGCTCCAACATCCTTTAACACACCTGCCTGAAAGTTTGTAGCATGACTAGAAAGAGCTTGATTAGGTGGTTCAGGTGTTTTTAATTGGGGTTGGAACTAAACTATGCAGGACACCGGCCCTCCAGGACCGAGTTTGGACACCCCTGCTCTAGCGAGTAGGGTGGGTCTGAGAGCCGTGAGGGGTGTGGAGGGCCCACTTGCTACAAATCCTTTTAAGTCAAACAGTCAAATACTATATCTGTTAATGACGGCTAGGGCCAGACAGAATCTGCAGACATTTTTTGCTATTTCAGAATTTTGTAAAAAATTCATAACTATCATAATCAATCACAACTAAAACCTTAATATATGAATTAAAAAGTAATAACTTTTTAACTTGTATTTAATGTTTACAATGCAAATCTAATTATATTCACTTTATTTGGTAAACAAAGCAAATCTTCTATATAATATATCTTCTAAAAGAGAGAAAATATGTTAACAAACTGTATTGTGAATAAATGATATTAACATTTTCATATTAGTCAATAATATTACTGAAATTAATTAAAAAACTTAATAATTATAAATTTACACACATTTATACAAATAAATAAACAGAATCAATGATGGGCTAAAAATCTGCGTAAATCTGCGGAATTCTGCGCATGCAGATTCCATTTGGGCCTAATTATGGCTAGCACACCAGGATAATATTCATTGTAGGAGCAGAAACAGTGAGTACCTGAGGTAAATTATTTGTTTTTGTTCTCATAGTGGCTGTTAACATCCAAAAAATATATATTTGAGCTTAAACCTTTTTTTTATATTATATGAAGCACAACAGCGGCCTGTTTTTCTTTCATTATAGGTTTTTGGAATTCATCTTTTTAGTCAATGGAGGTCAGGCTTAGAGTGGGAACCCTTTTTACTGAGTGGATTCCCCATTTCCCCATTTACTGTATGTGGTTAGAAACGATATACATTTTTACAAGTGAAGTTTTAACATTCTGTATATTTTTCTGTACTCAGGAAAGTATGGCATCGCTGTACCGTGGTATTTCCCAGTAACTAAATCCTTCTGGACGGATATGTTCAGCTGTTGTAGCAAGACACCTAAGAAAATAGGGAGAGGGCTGCTGTTTACCAACATGATGCAGGACCAAAGCAGCATGAACAAGAGCAAAGGTACATTCATAACCATTTCCCTGGGAATACTTGATTCTGATGTGTCAATAGAAAGTTTGGAGTGCCAATCTGTATATTTGATTATTGTCTCCCATACCATATTATTTTAATTTCAGTGCTTGTTAAGATGTGTGGAAGACATGATGTATTGTAGATAAATTGCAAACTAAAGTGTATTATAAAGTGATAAAATTAGAGTGCTTATCTGTTATTTTCTGTGCTAATTTACGGGTCAGTGTGTTTTTAAATGAGTAAAATTAGTAAATTCTACATTTCTCAAATTTTATTTTTGATCAATTTATTTTGTCCTTGCTAATTCCTTGTATCCTTGACAGTATTATCTGTGCTGTAACAAAACATGTCAATTATAAGCAAACGTGTAGTTTTCATCCACATATTTTTAAATTTGCCATCTTTCCTGCTCAATTGTAAGTTGCGAATTATGAGTTTGTTTATTTATTAATACTCATGCATTATACTGAGCTCTTCTGCAAATATGACAGGCAGGGGTATTAATGAAATCCAAAAACTAGTACTGAAATGAAATGCATTTAAATTTAAATTAGCAGGTTAAAACAGGCTGATATGATTTCACCAATATTCTTACTTTTGTTTATGGTGACACATACTGTAACCTTAAGTTTCTGTGTGATTTATTATTAACATCTTTTCTTCTGTTTATATATTTTTTTTTGTCACAGGAAAAGGTAGCTTGGTGGCTAAAGGAGAAGAAGACTTCTCAGGGTTGCCCGTTGGAGTCTCACTGTATGGCCTGACGAAGACCTACGGCAAGAGGAATGCTGTAGACAACCTAAACCTGTCTTTCTATGAGGGACACGTCACCTCTCTGCTGGGTCACAATGGAGCTGGAAAAACCACCACTATGTAAGAGCATAACAGCATAATAAATCTTTTAAAGGGGTCATGACATTTCAAAACAAAGTTGCCTTCATCTGCTGACATATAAGAGGTGTTAGTTTCATAAAAAAATCCTGTAAGTTTCAATGCTTAAATGTCATTCTTTTCATAATGTTTTTATTTATTCAAGCTCTTTACTAATGAAGTGCCATGTGATGTCATGTTTATATGGATAATGCTGTCAAAACACACAGCAATACAACACAGTACGACAGTTTGAGGATGTTGATACTCTTTTCTTTGTCAGACAATCGAAACATTGCCCAATTACTGCCAAGCTTTAAAGGACCCGCCCCTTCAAATCAGGTCTTTTCATCAGGAGGGTTGGAAATTATAGATTTTTCTGTGCATTATTTTTGTTTTTTAGTGTAAAAATCTTTATTAACATTTTAAGTGGACCTTAAGGCACACATACTGAATTAAACAACATAGTGTATTAAAATAATGTTATGACCCCTTTAAATGCTTCTAATATACTGTTAGTGGTGTAACAGATCACAAATCTCATGGTTCGGATCACATAGTGTTTTTATAGTCACGGATCAGACCATTTTTCGGATCATTTGCTTTCCATTTATTACAAAAACAGTACTGCAAGGCACTTTTGGTTTTAACGAACAAATTTAGAAAAAATAACTTTTTAATTAAAAATAAAAGGAAGAAATATAAATTGTCAAATATTCAGTGCTGTGAAAAATTCACTGTTACTGTTGCTGATAACGTTAAATGTAAAAATCTAACATTAAAATTATACAACCCATATTTATTTTTAGTCTCTTTTTTTAATAAATTATTCAGTTATTCACTCATAAAACTTTGTTTCATTGCTAGATCTATCATATTAGAAGAATTATTCAGTGGCAAATTTTTGATGGCTGGTTCTCGCCACCTATTGGGTAAATAATGTAATTGCTGCCTTCAACTTTCATTTTTGAGCGTTGTTAAATGCATATGATAGTGATTTTAATCTTTACCATGAAATCAGTGGTTATATCTAAACTATAAACTGTTATCCCAGTACTTCTGTGTTATGTAATTGTTTGTAACTTCCTAACTAACTCAAAAGACTAAAGATTAAGTCTCTTTCTTGATTTTTGGGTTTTCAGATTTGAATGCAGTAATAAGAAGGATTAATAAACATATGCAAATCACCATCATTCATAATTTAAGTTGCGTGGTTGTTGAGATGCAGCTTATACTGAATGTATTATTGCAGGCTTAACAAGTAGTGACAGAAAACACCTTTAATGAGACCCACCACATCCCGAATAACCTACCACAACTTCTTTCGTCATCATTATATTTTCATACATGTGGTTTAAATGACATGAGAGAAGATCTCTCTGTGATCGTTACAAATGTAGGATTAATCTACGAGTGAAAAAGGTATTGATCCGCAGGTCACGCGTGTTCCCGTGGGTTGTGATTCTAACGAGACATGGATCAACCGTGATCCGTTGCACCCCTACTAACAATGAGCAGCTTTATTTTCATTTACTAATGTAATGTAAATGTATCGTACAATGATTGTTTATGTCAGTAAATATATTAACTAGCATAAACAGAAACTGACTATAAAGTGTTAACAAATAATACAAGAAATGATGAGCTATTTTAAATTCTTCTATTACAGATTAAAATATGTAGCCAACACAAACTATTACACTTTTTATGGCATAATCAATTATTCATTCATTCATTGATTTTCTTTCGCCTTAGTACCTTATTTATCAGGGGTTGCACCGCGGAATGAATCGCCAACTATTCCGGCATATGTTTTACGCAGCCCTCCAGCTGCAACTCTGTCCCAGTACTGGGAAAATATTTCCATATTTATTTCTTTAATTTCAGGTCACTTTTGACTGGATTGTTTGCACCCACTGTCGGCACCATTGAGGTCTACGGGATGGATATGCAGATGTTCATAGATGATGTGCGCAAGGAGATGGGCGTCTGTATGCAGTATGACGTCCTGTTCGACCATCTGACCACTAAAGAGCATCTGTTACTGTACGCTCAGATCAAAGCTCCTCATTGGACCAAGCAAGAAGTGAAGGAACAAGTGCACAAGTATGTTACAGCACTTGTCCCGTAGTTTATTTCAAGTTCTTTTGTAGCAATCCCTCAAAGACATGATTTTTTTTGTCAGACTCATATATTATCTTGACTCATATGGCATGTACAGTAGGTTTCTAATATGCCCTTAATACTGTTTGGGAAGTTGCTTTAAAAACTGTAGCTGCCCACATTACAACCTACTCATGGTTTAAAGCAGTTCAACTGTGAAGAAAATGCAGCTGCATTGGTGTTGTTTCAAGTGCTTGTTTTTGAAATATTAAACCAAATAATGATATGTGAAATAAATAATTACAGATTGTATAAAAATGTGACAACATATTTAGTGTAAATATTTATTTCTTCTAACATTATTAATCAAAACCAATGTCGAGATCATCTTCATATGGTTATTTTAATTAAAAATAAATAAAAAGTCAAATTAATTAAAATCATAAGATTATATCTTTGCATGGATGCATATATTAAATAAACCTAAAAATCAATTAAAAAACAATTTTAAATAAATTAAAATCATTAGTATATATTTAACTAAAATAACTGAAATATTAAATATAAAAATATTAACTAATTCAAACCAATAATAAAAAACACAGCGGTTACTGAGTTATACTAAACCTCTTTTAAATTTCTATATTAATGAGAAATGGCAAATGAAATGCGATGAATTGTAGAAATAACAAATTGTATGAAGTGAATCCATTTGTAAATGAAAGAAATAATTACCATTTTGAAAATAGACATGACCCGGTTGTGCATACGGGATGCAGATTTGAACACTGAAGACTTAAACACGCATATTTATTGAAAAGGGAAGAAAAAACTAATTGTGACTTGTGTAAGAATATTTTGACGATAACACATATTTTAATAGAATGTGTATTTTTAAAATGATATTAGAGAACCATTTTATTAAGGAAATATTTTAAGTGAAATGTTTGAAAAGGTGCCTTCTGGAGCAATTTTAGAATATTTATCTTTAATCAAACTATAAGATTGTATATGACTCTATTCAGTGTTGTTTTTTTATTATTTTTTTATATGATTATATGTTATATATTGAATATTTAGTATATGCTTTGCCATGAATATAGCTAATGCTGCTAATATGGCATGAAAACATAAATAAATATAGAAATAATTAAATAAATAACTCTGTTATACTGAAATAAACTGAAATATATTTAGATAAACTGAAATGTAAATATTAAAAAAAAAACTAATTAAAACTATTTAACTTTGAAGTAAATAAAGACAGAGTATATCAAAATATATTTATTGTAAATATTTATTTATTCTACCATTATTAGTCAAAATTAATGCTGAGATTATCTACATATGCATATTTTAATCATAAATAATTAAAAGACAAATAAATTCAAATCATAAGGGTAAAATATTTTTTGCGTAGATACATATTGTAATTACTTACTTACTCCTAGGGCCATTTATATCGATTTATCATTTATATATTTATAGCCACACCATGTTGGTGTTTCGTAACATCTAATTTTTACTATGTGGGTTGTTAGCCCAACGCTTAAACCTCAACCTGGAGGACCAGGACATATTGTAATTACAAATAAAAAGAATAAATTTAAATAAATTAACATATATTTAACTAGAATGAGTCAAAATATTAAATATAAAAATAAAAACTAATTCAAACCAATATTAAAAACCACAGTGATTGACACAAATATAATGAGATAAAACTATTCTGAACAAAATGTTTTGTATAGTAAAATGACTAAAAAACATAATTTTTGTTAATTGAAATAAAGTTTAAATATTATTAAAGATAAATATTACATTAAATAAACTTTAAAAAATATTTCAAATGTTGCCTTGGCAGATAAATGAAAAAAAAAGCTGAATCAATGTACTAAAGAAATAAAAAGTAAAACCGAATTGAACTGAAATTTAAAGAAAGTAAAGCTAAATAAGAATCTAATTATGACTGATATAAAAATACAGATTAAAACACATATTCATCCTGTATTTAGTAATATGATTGGTGGAAATTTGTAGGTTCAAACCCCTAAAATGGATTTGCAATAACATTGTCCCACTTCTCACCATTTCAGAATCCTAATGGAAACAGACATGCATGCCCACCGGCACAAGCGTGTTGGCACTCTGTCAGGAGGCATGAAGAGAAAGTTATCCATCTCCATTGCCTTCATCGGAGGCTCGCGGCTGGTGGTGTTGGATGAGCCGACCACCGGCGTAGATCCATGTTCCCGACGCAGTATCTGGGACATTATCATACAGCACAAACAAGGTGAAGTCCTTCTATATTTCAGACCTGAGTGAAAATAATCTCCTGGCCTGTACCTATAGCGAACTTCCCGAAGGACTTTGCTCTTTATCGGTTATCTGACACTTGGCGTAGAATTTAATTAGGATTGAATGGATTTTCTCAAGGTGCGTGCAGTCAAATCTTGACAGGGAGAGAAATCCAGACGCAGATGTAGTAACGACTGATTGTTATCCGTCATGCTCTCTCAGATGTTTAATTATCTTCCTTGGAGACAGTTGGCGAATCCGCTTGTTAGGTTGTGACGTATGGATTGATGTTTCCGGGTCCTGTACCCAACTCAATTGAGAAAAACTCAATCGAAAAGCTGTTAATTTGCATTTACATTCATTTCCTTACACTGAAAAACTGATTCATTGTATTTACTACATTAATTTCAGGTAACTGGTTGTAAACTATTTATACAGGCTGAATTTAACCAAACAAATAAAGTTTAGTAATGGTCAACTTAATTTGTTTTTTTTTTTAATTCAGCCCGTATCATTTTTTATCAGTGTAGCAGATGCTTTAATCCAAAGCGACTTACAAGTACTAGTAATTTAAATCACCAGAGAAAAATGATATCTAGATGCTATGACAAGTCTAAGTTAGTTTAGCAATTTTTTTGAGTAATGAAGTGTTATATAGAGATATAGAGAGGAAGGAGTGTTTCCTACAGGTGGTTTGTCTAGCCCAATCACCTGTGCGAAGCTCACTCAGCATTGCACAATATGTTCCTACAGAGTGCTAATAAAAACATGTCTGCTGCATATGGAAAGGGTCTCCTACAGCAGCGGTCCCCAACCTTTTTATCACTGTGGACTGGTCAAAGCTTGACAATTTTACCACGGCCCAGGGTTGGGTATGTAAATTGTTAGGCGGCCAACGTTTTCTCAGAGGATGACAAGCTGACAAAACATTGCTGCAAGTCTGAAACAAGTTTTATATAGAGAGAAAATTAAATAGCACTGCAGTGTTTGATGATCTACCAAAATGTGTATATTCCTTACAAAATATTAAGCTGAGTGGTCAGTTCTTGTCATGTGACTAGTGGTGCACTCGCAGCATTCTGAAGATTTTTTCAACTGAGTGTGAGCCGCTCCCAGTATGTGTGCACAAGCCACGTGGCTCCATTGGAGCGATATACAATTGAAGTCAGAATTATTAGCCCCCTGCCAAACTACCCCCCCCCCCCCCCCCCACCCCGATTTATTAGCCCCCTTGTTTATTTTTTCCCCTACTTTCTGTTTAATGGAGAGCAGATTTGTTCAACACATTTCTAAACATAATAGTTTTAATAACTCATCTCTAATAACTGATTTATTTTATCTTTGCCATGATGACAGTAAATAATATTTGATTAGATATTTTTCAAGACACTTCTATACAGCTTAAAGTGACATTTAAAGGCTTAACTAGGTTAACTAGGCAGGTTAGGGTAATTAGGCAAGTTATTGTATAATAATCCTTTTTTCTGTAGACTATCTAAAAAAATATAGCTTGAAGAGGCTAATAATTTTGACCTTAAATTTAAATAATTTTGACTGCTTTTACTCTAGCCGAAATAAAACAGAAGAAAAAATATTATCTGACATACTGTGAAAATTTCTTTGCTCTGTTAAACATAATTTGGGAAATATTTGAAAAAGAAAAAAAAAATCAAAGAGGGGCTAATAGTTTATTCCTTGGCAGTTTGTGGCTCTTTCACTGGCCATTTTCCCCTTCGCAAAGAAACATTCCAAAGAAGTCTGTCTGTTTCCTACTCATTTTACTAGCTTGTGGGTTAAATTTTGATGCTCAAATGACGAGATGTAACCGAGAGAATTCGACAATTTTTCAAAATAAAAGATCATTCAGACTAGTTTAGATCGTTCAGGTAATAAAAAAAAAACGGTCCCGATACCAATTTATCCGCGGCGGGGGATGGGGACCACTGTCCTACAGAAGGTCATGACCTCTGTTTAATCGTGTCAAACATTAAAGTGAATCTCTCTGGACTCTGGAAACCAATATTTTAACGCTGTTTAAAAGATGAATCACTGTCTGATTATCTGAGATTAGGCATAGATTAAACATTAAGGAATGATTGAATTTCAGTAGTATTACAATACACTTTAAATATATTAGTGTCATAATACTCTGTTTTTGTTTTTTCGCATTTTGATAGAGCAGTTGTTTTCTACCTTTTTTTCCAGAAGGACCGTTATTTTAATTTTCAAAATCCTTAAATGCCCAAATGAGGCCTATTTGTTATAACAAGTTATTCCTTGGGAAACCGTCTGTCATTCCGTATTCAATTGTTACTTTGTTTCATTCTATCATTCATTGATTTAATAATTTTCTTTTGGCTTACTTCCTGATTTATGAGAGGTCGCCACAGTGGAATGAACCACTAAATACTCTGGTATGCGTTTTACGCAGCGGATGCCCTTCCTGCTGCAACCCAGCACCATGCTTTGAAACACACAGACTCATACACTATGGGCAATTTATGTCATCCAATTTACCTATAGCACATGTCTTTGGACTGTGGGGGAAACCGGAAAACCCAGAGGAAACCCACGCGAACACGGGGAGAACATGCAAACTGAATTTAAGACAACTTTACAAAAAAAATTTTGTTAGTTCTTTGCATTTTCTTGCTGCTTTGCTGAGTTTTCTTTTTACAGTTTTTTTTTAAAGCTGCATCTGTGCATTACTATTATCAATACACTGCTAAAAGTTATTGACGAAAATCTTTACGAAATCACTTACATTTTTGTTCATTATCTGTTTTTAATCTATTCAAAATGTAAATTTATTGTGATTTCATAAATAAAACAAAGAAAGAATAGTGAACTTGGCAACCCCAAAAAAACTTTAGCAACCTCTGGTGGAGGTTGCGACCTTCATGTTGTAAACCACTGTGACAGAGCATTTAGACCCAGAAACCGTGATGCGCAACGTCAGCCTTATCAAGCGGATTTATCTTAAGCAAGGATTTAAGTCTGTAAATGAGGGTTGTGTCAGAATCTCCTGCGTTATCTTTAAACATCAGCTCTTTGTTTAGAATCTGTCCGCCTGTATCAGTGGATCTTTGACTTGACATGCCTCTGTGTTGTTTTTGTTTGCCTGTCCAGAGCGTACCATCATTCTTTCCACACATCACCTGGACGAGGCTGAAGTTCTCAGTGACCGCATCGCTTTTCTGGAGCGCGGAGGCCTCAAGTGCTGCGGTTCACCCTTCTATCTCAAAGACAAACTCGCTAAAGGATACAACCTCACCCTCACTAAGAAGGTCTGTCCCTTAGAAGATGACATTCACTTAGAAGATGTCAAATGTTACTTTACTACATTAATATTTTTTATGAGAACTGAACTACTGTACTTGAGTAAAGGCATCACATTTATCCAAAGTTTAGTTCAAAAGATTTTTGTTCAGTGTTTTTTGAATCTTGTGTTCACTAATGGTCCATTTATTGAATTGAAAATACAGTAGAGGCATTAGTTGTACTAAATATTATTAAGTATTATTATATTACATATTATTTAAATATTATTTAATAATAATTCAACAAAGAATTATTAGGATTTAAAATACTTTTTTTTTTTTTTAAGTATATAACATAAAATCAGAATTCTCAGTTAATTCAGTCTTCGTCTGATTTAGTATGAAAACATTTTAGTGTAATGATTTTGGGATCCATTTTTTAAATAATTTTTTAATGAACAGAAATAGAAATAGAACAGAAATATTTTAAATAGATTTCTTTTGTTTAGTGTAATTTTTGATCGATTCAATGAATCATTGTTGGGAAAAATATTAATTATCTAAGAAAATATTTAGCAGTAAACTTTTTAGCAGTAGTGTATGTACAGTACATTCTTTAAAATCTTTATTAAGTATAAATTACAACTGCATGATATTGGAAAAATCTGACATTTCCCTTTTTCTTTCTGCGATATATATTGCGATATGAATATAATTTTACCAGATGAATTGAATATCTCTATTTTAAAGATTTCATTTATCTCATTTAGGGATGACCAAATCCCTAAAATAAATTATAAGCAATTGTACTAAATATTATTGAGTAATAAATAAATTATTATTATTAATAATTTATAATAAAATAATTATAATTATTAATTATTATAATAAATTATTATTATTATTATTAATAATAATTTATAATAAAATAATTATAATTATTAATTATTATAATAAATTATTATTATTTTTTTTACTAATTTTACTGAATATCATTAACATTTTAAATATGTTTTTATTTTTTAAATATGTAACATCAAATCAAAATTTTTCAGCTAATGTTAAGTCAGTCTTCATTACTCTAATATTCTGATTTGGTATGGGAACATTTTAGCGTAATATTTTTGAGATCATCCATTTTTTCATAATTCTTTAATGAACAGATTTTATTTGAAAATGATTTTTTTTGTTAGTTGTTTAATGCAATTTTCGATTGTTGAGAAAAATATTAGTTATCCAAAATAAAAATTAACACCCCAAACTTTTAATAGTAGTGTATCTACGGTACATTCTTAAAAAAAAAAAAACTATACTAACTATAAAGTAGAGCTGCACGGTATTGAAAAATCTGACAATGTCCTGTTTTTTGTTTTGTGATATATATTGCGATATGAATATAATTTTAACAGATTAATTGATTAGCTCTATTTTAAAGATTACATTCATTTAGATAGATTGGCACGACCAAATCTTTTCTATGCAGTGCTTTTCTATTCAGTTTCTATTCTTATTCATATTTCAGTGCGTTTGCATAAGTTATAATAAATTACAAGTATATATTAATATACAACAGAGCAAAGATAAAAGTGAAATAAACGGTGCTTTATGGTTTTCTGGACAGTCTAACAGTATTCAGGTACAGAAATTAACAATCAAGCATAAAATAACATGGTCATCATTGTATAAATTATTTAAGAATACTAATATTTAATAATGTCTTTATCTTTTAGTTTTTAATAAAGGATCTGACCCTGCAATGTGACTATTGGGGATACACATTGCGATATCTATGCCATAAGCGTAAAAATTTATGTTTATTAAGGCTTTCGTTAGATTATAGTCTTTAATCACATTTAATTTGACCCTTTTGGTTCGAGAATCACACATTTGTCATAGAATTAAGCGTTGGTTTTGAATTCAATCACATGCATTTTGAATTAACATGCACATACACTTTAACACTGATAGTTCTAGTATTTATACAATATCACATCATGTAATATTGATCACATTTCTTACACCATGATATTACTGTGGTAACTTGTACTTTTCCAAAATTTAAATTTTATAATTTTCCCTTTTATCAACATTCATTTCTATATTTTTGGTTCAGGTCGAGACTGCCGACTCAAAGGAGAAGTTTGACTATGAGAAACTCAGGGATTTCATTCATTCGCACCTACCTGATGCCCGACAGAAGGATAGAGAGATGGGTGATCTAGTCTATGCCTTGCCACCGTACACCCCTCAAAACGCCTCTGAGTACCACTCTCTGCTTAACAGCCTGGATCAGAATCTGGACAAGCTTCACCTAGGCTGCTATGGCATCTCTGACACCACCCTGGAAGAGGTAATTATCAGTTAGACAATAAATGCAGGTTCTGGACTCAATCGCAGTCTGGACCAATGACCTTCCAAAGCTGAGTTTTTTTTTAAACAGTACAGTTTAATGGGATTTTTGGCATGTAATGGCTGACATTTTACATTTTTAGAGTAAAAGTCCTAATAAGAACTGTAAGTTATTGAAATAATTAAAGCAGATTTATGTGTGCATATGTAAACAGAAAATGTATTTATGCTACTAATTTTAGTCATGTTATTTTGTTAGATGAGTTGAAGTTGCCTAATGTAACCTGAGATGTTACAATATTTTATAATATTTAAAAAATTGAACTCCTTTTTAATGTATTAGTATGTATCACAAGTCATTTTAATATAAATGAAAAACTGTTGTAGTTTATTAACCATTTGAATCATTTAGATTTTCATATTTTAAAAATTTACATATAGTTTTAGTTTTTTTTTGCGCTTTGTCTCTTTTGTATGAAAAAAAGTCTAGGCTTTTTCATTCAGTAGACAAAAGCTTTGGGTAAATATGATTTTTCTTCTCTGGCATTATTTTAATGGCTGGTTTTCCATCACATGAGAAATGCCATAATTAAAAAAAAATCTCTAAAGGTATAGTTCACCCAAAGCTAATTTCACAAATTGTTTATCATTTACTCACCATTCACATGTCACAAATCTGTTTGAGATTTTTTCTTCTGTTGAACAAAACGTCATTTTAAAAAATGCTGGAAACCTCTAAACACTGACTTTAGTATTTAGGAAATAACCCTAGTATTTGTTTTCTCTTCTGTGGAACTCAGTGGTTACAGCTTTCTAACATAAAAAAAGAAACTCATAAAGGTATGAGTAGAGTTTTAATTTTAACCTCATCGCTTCCGGTGAACTGTCTTCCATTATAAAATTGCCACGTTTAAGTTCGGATTTCTTAAAAAATCAGTGATCTTCACTGCTTGATAGATATACGATATAAAGTGGGTCTCAGACCGGTCAAGAAGCACTGCATTAAATTACATTTTCTCCCACTATAACTGTCAAAATATTAAAGTTTATTTTACTTTGGTATTTTCAAGGGAGTTTCTGCGCTCGCCTGCTGATCCTGACGGCACTAGCATATACACGGTCTTTCATCTCTTTTCACGTTTGAACAACTAAATGAATGCTTAAGTCTATTTAACTGAATGTATTTAATGACATTACAACATCGATGAGGTAGAGGGAACCTTATGAAATTGAAAATAGTTACATTAAGCTTTCACGGAAGTTCATCATTGGCTGAAAAACACTATAGCTGTGCTTATACCCCATTGAGGGAGAGTAAAATGTGCGTGATTATTATTATTATTATTATATTTTTTTTTTGGTTTTGGACTGAACAAGGGTTACTGTGAATAATGAAAACACATTTACCGAATAAACTCTGATGTAGCTAATATTACAACCATGTGACTTCATTATGCTTGCGCTGTTTAATGTTGGTTGCTAGGTTACCAATTCTACAGTCAGCAACTCAAAAAAAACGTTTTTTCTTCTTCTTTACAAACTTTTTTGTCGCTTCACTTTAGTATGGAAATCCAGGTAATGACAACAAAACAAAACTTCTCTAGGGCCCCAAAAACCTCTCAGGCCACAGAGGGTTAACCTAACAAATCCACTGCAAAAACTCAAACTAATAAATGATACAGCTGTGTTCAGATGCACTCACAAAGATGTTGTGTTTTCTCTCAGGTGTTCCTGCAGTTGACTCGAGATGACCTCGAGCCCAAAGAAAGTGAAACCTGGTCTGTATCAGAGTCGGTTATAGAGAATGACATGTTCGCCTCAAGAGACAGTCTTTCTGAAGACTGCAACAGCATGTACCTTGGAGAGAAAGCCAGTAAGTGGTGTTTTAGGCCTATTAGTCTCTTTCAGCAATATTAGTCCCATGACCTGTACTTTCCCAATTACCTCCTGGGAAAACTGTGAACTGTGGGAGAAATCTTATTAGCTATAAATCTCTCCTCTCTCTCTTTCTCTCTTTCTATCTTTCTCTCTCTCTCTCTCT